ACACCATAATATACTGGATTGCAATTTTAAAAATGTACATTTTGAAATCCCGGTCTCCCCTGTCTTTAGAAGGTAAAAGCACTTTGGGTGTCCCTCTCACGGCAGCTCCCAGTCTACCCCTCTATAAATGTTTTGCAATTCAGTATATTTATATTTTATCCTAGCTTGGGGCTCCCCAGAGTATGAAGTTGTAAGTGGAACACAGCCTTCCTAGGGCCATCACGTGGTATCCTAATGAGTGCATGCTGACTAGAAAGAGTCCTTCTGTGTATACACAAGTGATGTGGCCGAGGGGACATCTAGAAGTCATGTCTGAGCTCTGACCTGCAGGGTCACCACCCGCACACCCCCGCGACTTCACACGGTGCCACTTGTTTTGATGGGCTGAGGTGGGTTGGGGAAGGGCCAGACAGTGTCTGCCATCCCCTAGCACCGGCCCTGCTGCCAAACACCCACTCCTCTTACCGCTGTGCTCCCCACCAAAAAGCACTGCAGGCAAACCTCCAGCTCGCCAAACGTGGCCTCTTTGAAGTGCCGGATGAGTGTCCCTGCAGCTGTCGCTCTACATCTGGTGGCGCTTCTCCTGCTGCCAGAGCTTCATAGAGGCTTCGCGTCCCTTTCCTCAGAAACCTGTACATGTAAATTCAATTTTACTTTATTTTATTATTTTTAAAATTTTATTTATTTATTTGAGAGAGAGGGAGAGAGAGCACAAGCAGGGGGAGCGGCAGGCAGAGGGAGAGAGAACAGACTCCCCACCGAGCAGGGAGCCCCACGCGGGACTCGATCCCAGGACCCCAGGACCACGACCTGGAGCCCAAGGCAGACGCCCAACTGACTGAGCCACCCAGGCGCCCCGTAAATTCAGTTTTCAACTGGATTTTTTTAACAGTTGGTCTCAGGAGTCTCTGGGTGGGGGGAGGTGCTGGCACTGGTGGAGGGAGATCCATGCCCTCGAAAATTGGATTCTTTTTTGGAAGACTGCTAGCACGGGCTCGTGGGCAGGGAACTAAGTGACCCACTGTTCTACCTGCTGACCCGCTAAGCCTTGGGACGGCGCTGGGAGTAGCTCTCGCCACAGGGCAGGGGCCGGCCTTCCTCTCTCTTTCACACAGACGGGGTCGTTTTGTGTGTGTCCAATACTACCGGCGTCGTAGTACAAAGAGCCCATAAACAGAAGCCCACCCACCCCGCTAGTGCTGAGCAAAATCACTCGAGGGTAAGTTAAAAGGTGATCTCCCTGACGAAGACCGGTTTTAAAACCCTTGCGTAATCTGTGTTCTTTGGGAAATGCCGACAGACAGGGCCGTCCGAGCTCAGGAGAGGGAGTCATCCAGAGAAGAGGGGCCAGCCCGGGACCCAGCAGCCCAGGCCCCGCGGCCTCTGGGTGCCTGGCCTTCCTTAGTGGGAGGAGGCTTTGGCAGGATACGGTCTGCGGGAAACCAGGCTGTGCGTTTTCATTCCTGCCGTCCGGTGCAGCTCTCCGTGGGGAAAGGGGGATTCCCGGCCCATTTTGTTAAATGCACGGCTGGCAGCGGCTGTAGCGATCTCACTGCCTTGGGATTGGGGCTCAGCCCCGCCCCGGCGGCCGGCAGAGTGGGCCCCCCACTCCCGGCACCACACTCTGGCCACGCGGTGGTGGTGAGCTGCAAAAGAAAAGATCCCCGCTTGAGACACCATTGCACTTCCTATCCCAGAGAACCGGCATTGTTCACTGTGCCACATCTCTACTCTAAATTTAGGCATCTTTTTTTTTTTTTCCAGGCAAAGAGTACTATGCAAACATTTAAGAGAAAAACCTTGCCCAATGTAATTGTTTCCCTCGACTTCTATTTGGTTTCCTGCAATGTTTAGATGACTCATTCTCTTCCAAGAAATTTTAAAGAAAAGAGATGCAGGCTGTGTGATAGTGCACAAAGCCTGCTCTGTAAATTCTCTTTTTCTTCCCTGCCTAGAAAACCCATTGCTTTTTTTTTTTAACGGGGAACGGAAAGGCCCTGCAGACTTCATTGTCAGGGACTCGGCCTCATCAGGTTTTGTTGTTCCCAGGATTAAATGTCCCTTTTGTTTTTGGGTGGGGCCCCCTTGTAGCCTCCCAGCTCTGACAGCTCTGGAAGGCAGAGCGGCCCGCATGGAAGCCCTTCCTGGCTTGCTGGGCCGCACTTGCCCCCAGAGGCACACAGTTAAGGTTTCTGAAATAGAGAAACGGTAGCCTTTTAGCATCTATGAAAGGGGAGGGAGGCCCTGGCCATTTCCTGCCTCTCTCCTGGTGGCAGCCTTGTTCCTGTTTGCTGGGGGCTTCGTGGGGGCGCTGTAGCTGGGAGAGCCTCACATGTGTTCCCGGCCCAGGCCTCAGCCACGGGGAGCCGTAAGTCAGAATCGCTTCAGCAGCCTGTTCAAATAAACAGGGATAATAGTTGAGTCGGTCCTTTTCCAGCTAATCGGTACACGAAAGGAAACATCTGCCTGGGCTTAATTGCTTTTTTATTCGTTATGCTTTTTCTCCTCCTCCCTTCCCCTCCCCCCTTCTCCTGCGGCTAAGTTATTTAAGTCCTGGGTAAGCAACAGGGTAGAGGAATGGGAGCCTTCTCCCCGGAACCTCCGCCATTTAAACACAAGGAGGTGGGAAGGGAGGATGGGAGGCTGGCAGGGGAGTTGACCTGGAGGCCGGAGGGCAGGGCACTTGGAAGTGATACTCATGGTCACTTCCTGGCCTTGTTGCTGACTCTGGGGCTGGCTGGTGAGTCATTTTGCCTCACTTCACCTCCTTGGATCTCTGCTGCTTCAGTGGAGCTCAGCTCTCCTCATGATGGGAAGGAGAAGCTGGTATGTGAGATTCTAGATGAAAGGCATTTCCTCTTGTGGCTTCTTCCAGTGGTTGAGGGCATTGAATGAGAGACATTTGGGAACGGTAAATTTAAGACTGGCAAGATACCCTGAAGCCATCTATTTTGTAGGGCATCTCAGTCCCTGAGGAGAACTTGCTCATTATCTGCTACTTTGGGAAGTGAAGCCAACCAACCGTACAGTGAAGTGGGTGGTGGTTGCATCTAATATGGACTCACCAAGCCAGGCAAAATATCATGAAGAATCATAGAATGCCAGAGGTTAGGAGGGGCCTGAGGAATGCGTTAGCCTTTCATTTTATGGAAAAGAAAACAGAGGCCCAGAGAGAAGAATCGCATTATTCAATGTTATCTTCTTGATGGTGGAGGAGCCAGGAATAGGAGTCTTGTGTGATTGCTCCTTCAGGGCTCCTTCCACCCACTTCCACACTACCAGGTGTAAAAAGTCCTGTCTCCACACAACAAAGGTCACACAGATGTTGTGTTCCATAATTAATTCCTTAATAGAAAAAGGCAAAGCATTTAAGAGACATGAAAATACCTGAGAAACATGTAAAAAAAGAAAAAGTTCAGGCTCACTAGAGCCAAAGGACTGCAGGAGGGTATCATGCTGAATCGTCAAGAGAAAAAGTGACTCAATATGCTTCTAGGCTTCTGGTGGTATTTTTCATTGGTACGGTTTTTCTCAAAGGCAATTTGATGGCATAAATGAATAGTCTTTGACTCAGCAATGTGACTTCTAGAAGGAGAAAATGGTGAAAGGTGTGTGCATAGGTGATAAACCAAGTAATTTAACAGCATGTTTTATCATAAAAATTTGTAAGCAAAGTGGATGTCCAAGAATAGGAGCTACAGCAATATCTTTCATAATGTTCTAGAAGAATAATATGGAGGGAACTGTTCACAAACATTTGTTTAAGTGAATAAGTTACAGTGTGTATAATGCAACCCCGATTTCATGAAAATCACATGGGAAAATCATATCACATACGAGATAAAGTGTCAAGTGGTGATTTCTTAGTGGTAGGAATTAAAAGTTACTTTTTCTTTTGGGATGTTTTCTACAGTTTTCTTGGGTTTTTTGTTTTTTGGTTTGTTTGTTTTTTTTCTTTTTCTGGTTTCTTATTAATTACAATAAATGTATATTCCTTTTGTAATCAGAAAAAAAATAGTTTCAAAGTCATACATCTTGATTAAAGCAGGATCATAAATGATTATGTTTCTGACATGCGAGACCTCTTTCCTTCTTCCCCTGGGAGCAGAGCTGTGCCAGGGTAGTATTCCACCTTCTGGTAGAAGGGCATTGTTGGTATCTGATTGGTAGGAAAGAACTAGAAGGAGCTAGCAGAAGATAAAACGAGGGCTTCCCCTCTCGATGATCCAGTGATGCCAGTCAGTTTTATCCCCTGCTCTCTTGGGCTCAGCATAAAACACTCAGTATAGAAGGTGCGACTCTTTTCTCCTTCCTGCTTCTTCATTCTTCTTTATTTCTACTATTCTGTCTGTGTGGTTAGATGCCAGCCCTGGGTGGTAGCAGCAAAGAACCCGAGAGCCACTACTGCTAAGGATTAACAGGTTGGAGACCCCTTCACATGTATTATCCGAAGCTGGTAACATTAGCTAATCTCCAAACCAGTCATTATTGGGGTACCACTGCCCTGGGAGTTTGGGGCAGAAAGAAATCAGGTAAGACTTATATCCCTCCTTCCTGCTTGGAGGTTCCTATTTGGTGAGGTACTTTGAAGTCCTTGGATGTTTATGGTCTTCTTTCTATGGCGTCCCATTCCACATCTGACTTTCCTCCACAATTCTCAAGAAGGCTCAAGTGCAAGTGTCCAGGAAAGCCTACTCTGCCTAACAACAGTTGCTAGGTAGGATGTGGCTTTCCAGCCTGCTCTTCGGGGACCAATGGAAAAATCAAAGCCTACACCCATTTGCCCTCCACCCGGTTGCCTTAGCTAGGCTATAGAAGGGCCATCATTTTATTAAAACTCTTTGAGTAATCTGACCGTAATTGGGTCTGATCGGAGTGGTTATCTGATTTGCTGGATTAAATAATGGCCCTTAATTGAGTCTGCATTAGTTGTAGAGCCTTTGTCGCCCCCCCTCCCCCCTTCTGTTTCCCGACTAACCTCCATTCCTCTTTCCTTGCAGAGTAAAGAAGTCGGCCAGCAGCTCCAAGATGATTTGATGAAGGTCCTGAATGAGCTCTACTCGGTAAATCAGATGGGTGCCTGGCCCTTTAACAAGCAGAGGGAAGCAGCGTTTGGCAGCTTGTGGCCGTAGTCACATCAGCAACCGAACTGAGCTGAGTTTGAGGACAGTGCATGGTCCCCATTGGGGGTGACTCCACCCATTTCTTTTCTTCACACTCTTATTTTCAAATCTGAACGAGCCAAAAACTCTTAAAATAAGATCCCTCCTCAGCTGTGCAACCTAACTCTGGCCTCATTGGGGCATAATCTCCAGAGACCAGCCAAGGCCTTCATTGGCACAACTGACCCCCCATTAGCAGCAAGCCAGGGACCCCAGAGCTAATGGCAAGGAACATAGTCTGCATTGCACCATTAATATGTGCCTGCCAGGAAGGACTTAATGTTCAAGGTTTCACATCAGTTCTTGGATTGATCTGCAGGTTTGCGACAAGAGCGGGTACCCTAGAGGGAAGCACAGAGTCCTAAATGCCCCTGATCAAAGGGGCCAATTCAGGCAGAGAGAACTTGGCATCGACTCCCTGAATTTTTAAAAGACCGAACCTCAGTGAAGAGGCAGGCTTCAGGTTTGGAGAAGAAAATACAATCTGTTTTGAAATGGCTGGTGCTCGAGGCATGTGATGCCCATGGCTGATGCATGTTTCTTCATGCACTGGAAGGAGGTCGTGGTGGTGCTTTCTCCCCAGCCAGGTTTTGTTAATTATAATTAAAACACATATGCACATCGAGGAAATTCCTGCTGCCGTACAGAGACTATTTCAGTTGTTAGCTAAAGCCTTTCAGGGCCCCTGTCTTCAGCGGAGCTGTGCCCAGCCTTGTGTCATTCTCTAGGGTTTCCTATCCTGTTCTGGTGGTGAAATTGATTTCCTATGTTTACTTGTTTATTCACTGCATTTCTTTCCTTCCTTCCTTCCTTCCTTCCTCTCTTTTTTCTTTTCTCTTTCTTTCTTTCTTTCCTTTCTTTCCTTTCTTTCTTTCTCTTTCTTTCTTTCTTTCTTTCCTTTCTTTCCTTTCTTTCTTTCTCTTTCTTTTCTTTCCTTTCTTTCTTTCTTTCTTTCTTTCTTTCTTTCTTCACAGGAAGACAGGCAGTGGTGACATGCATCACAGGCATTTGGGATCAGAGAATTCCATGTTCTTGATCCAAAAGCCTAGGTGTGGCTCTTTTGTCATGGCAACTATTAAGCAAGTAAATAGGGTAGAGTAGTCGTCAGACTGGTCTCCAGTGACGCTCAGTTTGTTTGGACTTTGTGCTCTGTGACTCTTCTGCTCTGAAGCCAAGTAGATAGATGGTACTCTTTGGTTCAACTCCCAAACTTTCATTTCTTTCAAGTGCAGTTAAGGCTTTTTATAAAAATAGAAGCGTGTTGATGTGAACCATTTACAGACTACATGCGTTTTCTGAACCCTGTTGTCTTTTTAATGCTTTACGTCTGCACTTTATTTTTAGAGTATCTTCTAGGCACCAAGAAGAGCTACTACTCCCTTTTCCTGGCAAAGAATTCACCAAGATAGAATATGACACATGAAGTCATTATATGAATCCTTTTATTTTCCCTGTAAGCATCGTGGGCCTCTGCTCTTTGCTTTTTCTGGGGAGGAGTAGAAGGGATAACCAGCAGACTCCAAACCAGCTCAAACCCAGTTTGCCACTTCTGCTGTGGGACTTGAGGTAGTGACAAAAGAACAGCGCCTAGGGATCTGTTAGCTTTGCTCAGAGCCCAAGATCTCCTATTATGCTATGATTTTTAAAAAATAAATAAGTGAAAGGGTATAGTTTGTGCAGGAATGAGGAAGAAAACTGTGGAACTTGCTGCTCTGGTTTGAAGAGGGCTGAACTGGCGAGTCGGACTGCAGTCTTCAGGCAGTCCAACATCGGCCAGTGCTTTCCTGCTGACGCAGAGCATGAAACCTTTCTGCTGGCGTATACAAACTGAGAATTGGCTGGGCATGGAGTCCCCTGCCAGGAGGTGAATGGGTAGACCCTCTTTTTATTTTTATTTTTGTTCTATTTTATTGTCATGTCGTTGACACACAGTGTTACGATGGTTTCAGGCACACAACATAGCGATTCAACAAGTCTGTACATTATGCTGTGCTCACGAGCGCACCTACCATTCGTCACCATACAATGCTATTATATTACCACTGAGTATGTTCCCGTTGCTGTTATCTTTTATCCCTGGATACACACTCTTTTAATTTGTCCAAGGCCAAAATACAAATTTAATTTGACCCAGGTCTCCCCACAACTTCATGTACTGGTATCTCCAGTCACACTTCCTAAAATATCTGACAGTAGTTAAGGGTCGAGTGAGTTTGCAGATTCTGTAGGCCATTAGAAAGTTCAGAGGATAGAATTGACTTGTTTCTTCTGTAGGGTGAGATGAGTGTAGGACTGGTCTCAGTAAGGCACCATGGCATTAGGGTGGCTGACTATCCCAGTTTGCCTAGAACTGAAGGGTTTTTGGGGGGGCGTGAGACTTTGAGTGCTAAACCTAGGAAAGTCCTTTGGTAAGCCAGGACGATTGGTCATTCTACATTTGACAGTGGTTTCATCAAGTAGGAACCTGGCCCTATTATATGCTGGCTTTGGGAAGCTACTTGCTAAATGTTCTCTCTCCTCCTCTCTCTCAGAGGAGTTAAGAAGAGAACAAGGGAGATCTTTTTATAAGGAGCTTTCACCTTATTTGCTTTTTGGGAAGGCAAAAGGGCCTCTTGCTTCAGTGACCCTGTGGACAATAGAAGTTATCTGTGGGATGGAATAAAGGAAGCCAAGGATATAAGGAACCCACTATGTTCAGTGTTCTCCTTAGCTTGTGTCTCCCCTAATGCTCAAAATACTTCTCTTTGGGAGGCTGATTACCCAAGGGTGGATAATGTAAGTACTTTTGAATCTTGATGATCCAAGGGGCAGAGCCTCGGTGTTCCCAAATAAAGATGCCTTTGGGCAAGAGGCCCAGACTCAGACCATACGTGGCCAGCTGCCCCTCTGTACCTTCCTCTTTTCTGCCTGAAGGACCTTTGATTTCCCTGATTTGGCATTCTGTGCCAGGGGCTGCTTCCCCCAGCTGCCATTCAGAGAGCAACCCTCGTGAGCATTCTCCTCCATGTGTTTCTCCCCCCATAATGAGCTGGCTAGTTGGTGGGCCATGGTATAAGTGGTTTTCATTTTCCAACTGGTGATCCAGGAATGCCTTTGAAGTTGAAGCGCGCTGCTTCCCCAAGAACTCTGGCATTCTCTGCCTCAGCTGTACTCAGAGTTTGTATCTGAGAAAGCCCAGCAAGTACCCACAGGAAGGAGGGTCTGTAGGGGCACAGAAGCCACATGGATTGACTAAGTAGGAACAGTCAAGTAAGCCCTAGAATTGAGAAAGAAGAGGTGTTGCAATGCTGGGGTGTGGTTTTAAAGCTCCTGTACTCCCGTACTTCCCCTGGATATGTGGCTCCTTGATTGGGCGCAGCAGCTGTCTGCTGGCGGAGCTATTGCAGGCTGGTATTTAGTACCCACTCCCTTGAGACAGTATCACTGCATAGTCCCCCCGCTCTGCCTGCCTGTTTGTCTCCGGCCCTAGGCACTAGGGCTACAAAGACAAATGAGACCTGTCCCTGAACTTAAGGCATTTAGTTTTAATAGAAGAGACAGAAAAGTAAAACAGCAAGTAAAGTATGAGGTGATAACATTTACATGTCTTCCCAGAGGAAGGGCACAAAGTCAGGCTCCTGAGAGAGAGATTTGAATTGAATCTTAATTGCCAAGAGCTCTTTCATTGTCCTCTAAATGTTCCTTTTTCATTGTATTCTGTTCTTGTTTCATGATATAATGTCTTTGCATTTTTCATTGATCTCTCTAGGGATATTATTGATTGCTTTTGAAGTTTTCTTCTTTTGGTACACTTTCTATTCTGTCTAAATTGCCTGTTTTGGTCTTGGCCTTTCATATCAGATATTTTCCTTCAATGTTTGGTAATCTTTAGCTGCCTTTTCATATTTTAAAGTGAGGCATTGAAAAGCTGGTTGGAAGTTCTGTGCCAACTGTGGTCTTGACTGTAGGGTGGTCTGACTGGTGTTTCCTTGGGGAAGCCCTGATATCAGTATTTCTAGGTCTTTTATCTTGGCTAGTCAGATTCCCCAGACAAGGCTCTTCTGACCTCCTGCCCATGTCTGGGGCCTGAGTTGTGAAGAGGCCAGGGCCATCACGACATTCAGTATAGAACTTTCTGTTGATCTTCCTATTTTAAGTTCGGTACCCCTATCCTCAGCTGAGCCCTGGTGTCCCCAATTCATAAGCCCTCTAGAAGAGACTATGCCTCTAGTCCTCCACTATGGAGGGGGCGGGGATGGGATCTGGTCGTCCACCAGTTCTTAGGCTTTCAGTAGTTTCTCTTTTAGCTCCATCTTCATCCCACTGCCACCAGTTCCTCTTAGGGCTTCTGTGATGTAAGTCTGGTTGCTTCTTGGCTCTGCCTTCTTTTGGTTTAGGGTTTGGTAGCTCATTCACTACTTGCCTCCCTGCTTTTTATGTGCTGCTTTCATTCTGTTTTTCTTCAGTTTATATCTAAGAAATCATAACAATGATAAAAACTCTTTTCTATTATTTTAGTGTGGCTTGGGGAGAGAGCAGAGCTAATGGCATGAATTAAGATTTCCTTTTTTGAAGTAAAGTGAATTCTCTTTGTAGAACTGAGAATTTAGACTCCTGAGTTTTTCCCCTAGTTTATATTTGCTTCACTATATATATATACGTATATATTTCTGCAAGTTCTGTCTTGACTCTCTTATTTTTCCAATTGTTTTGGCGTCACTTATTTAAGCTTTGGGGTCTGGATACCTCAGTTTTTCCTTGAGTTGAAGATTACTAGCTGTACTTCTTCCGTATTTCCACAGAGGAGAGATTTGTTATCATTAAGTCATTTGGGCAACCACATTGATTGTAAAATTACCAACTGTGGACATGACACATTTCCCAACTGTGGAGGAGGGAAGAAAACACAAAAGAAGAAGTGGTGCTTACCCTTAGGAATTCATAGTTTCTTAGTTTACTCTTTTAAAGAGAGTTCTTTAGTGGAAAGAAGCAATATAAATCACTAATTTTTATTACTTTGTTTTTGTCTTCTTGGCATTATTCCTTTGAGTCCTTTTTTGTCTCATATTCATTCATAGTGTTTCTTTATCTATCATGCATCTTCATGAAATGGAAAATCACTTTCTTAATAATCATTCATTTTTGTAACTCTTCGTTCAAGCTTTTGAATCCATATTCAGGTGAAAAGAAAGAAAAAGTAGTCTCCCAAATACCCTTCTTCAGCCTGGAAAACAGATGCCTCTTCCTCACTTCTGAGTCACCCTGGAATCTGGAGGACCCTTTCTAATTACTTAGAAAGGTTTTTAATGCTACCAGTTATTAAATATCATTTCTCCAGTGTAGAGAATGTACAGAGTTGATCATATACTTATGGGAAATGATGTCAGGTTGAAAATAAGGTGAAGCTGATTTAAAACGTTCTGTATCCAAAATGAGATGTTTAAACTCTAATGAACTTTGATTTTGTTGATGTCCCAATATTCTTTATTCTTTCCACCACCTCTCGCTGATCCTAAGGGATGAGTACACCCGTAAGGTCCTTCCAGGATTTCTCAACTTCAGCACCATGGACATTTGGGTAGACATCTTTGTGGTGGGGGCTGTCCTGTGCACTGGGTGGTTAGCAGCCTCCCTGGCTTCTACCCACTCAATGCCAGGAGCACGCTTCCAAGTTGTGACAGTCAAAAATGTCTCCAGATTAGCCCCCCAGTTAGGACCACAAAGCCATTAATAAAACCAGTTCCTCTTTTCAAACCGGTCTTGACTAAACCTAACCTTTCCTCCCAACTAACCCCCCTCTGGTCCTATTCAGAGGAAGACACTGGTGCCTAGTGACTCAGAATGTGGACTTTGTGGTCTGACAAACCTAGGTTTGAATCCTGATTCTGCCATGTACTAGCTGTGTGATGTTGGGTAGGATAGTTTAATCTCATTGAGCCGCAGTTTCCCCATCTTTAAAAGTGGAGATAATCACATGTCTTCTATAGAGGAGTTGTGAGGGTTCAATGAGGTGACCCGCATAAAGCCTCTGACACACAGCACGTACTAAGTGGTAGAGATTGTTGTCAGTATTATGCCCTTACTCCCCTCTGTTGTTCAGTCTGCACCCTGCCCCCCCCACATACACCCAACTCCCACACTCTCTCCCTCTCAAAGAGATTGCACGACATTAAAATGTCAGCACTCTTGAACTTCAGCTCGCTTAGTTGTAATCAGCATTTCTAATTCCCAGATAGAAGCTAGAGGCTCCCTGTGTGGAAACGGAGGGAAGAGCAGGCACCTTGTGGTTGGAAGTATGTTTGGGAGGAAACACACACAAGTTCTAGGCTGCCCGGCCTCCTCGTTAAGAAAAGAGACTGGATTCTCAGACAGTGGCTTTGGTGGGAAATTTGAGAATTGTCTTTTTCTCCTTTAACACTGCTTCCTTCCTATGGCAACTCTAGTTTCACCCGATGTGGGTTTTATTCCTTCTTAGGCTCTTACGTGAATTGTTGTGTGGGTTAACAGTCTTCATTGGGTCGTTTTCTAGATCCCAGGGCTGCTGTAAGGATGAAATGAGAAGGTGCATGTGTAGCACCTGGCACAAAGCCACGCATATACTACATGCTCAAGAAACGAGAGCTACTGTTGTTACTGCCACTGCTGTTCTAGTTAGTTCCCAGGAGAGAGGGTGTTTGATCCACGTGAAGCGGGCCAGACGGACCCCTAGAATGCTAGGGCAGTAGAAAGAGTTTTTGGAGCCTTTCTTCTTCCCCGTTTTGTATCTGAAAGGTCCAAAAAGTACCGACCACTCCACAGGCTGTGCTGGCCTCCTCAGGGTTCCTAACCTTGTGTCCTCTGGCTGAGCGATAGAAATTACTTAGCAGGTATAAAAGAGTCATGCTTACAAGTGTTGATAAATAGAAGTAAATAATGCACGATGGGGGCGCCTGGGTGGCTCAGATGGTTAAGCGTCTGCCTTCGGCTCAGGTCATGATCCTAGGGTCCTGGGATCAAGTCCCGCATCGGGCTCCCTGCTCCTTGGGAGCCTGCTTCTCCCTCTGCCTCTCTCTCTCTCTCTTGCTCTCTCTCTCTCTCTCTGTCTCTCATGAATAAATAAATAAAAAAAAGTTTAAAAAAAATAATGCATGATGGAAGACGTGAAGTCATTTTAAGAATAAGACATATTGGCTCCGTTCAAATGCTGCTTTCCTGTGCTTTGGGGTGGTCTTTAATATGCAGTGTTGGCTGAACCAAACACTTAAGAAGTTTTCCCGTAAGGGCATGAGGATAGTGCTTCATGTGGGACAGGTCCAGCTGAATCTGGTAGTCTGTAAAGCAGAGAATTGATCCTATTGGCTTGACCTCTGGGGGCGGGGGCGGGGGGTGTCTTGCAGGTCATGAAGACCTATCACATGTACAATGCCGACAGCATCAGTGCTCAGAGCAAGCTAAAGGAGGCAGAGAAGCAGGAGGAGAAGCAATTTGGAAAATCGGTAAAGCAGGAAGACCGGCAGACCCCACGCTCCCCTGACTCCTCGTCCAATGTCCGCATTGAAGAGAAGCATGTCCGGAGGAGCTCAGTGAAGAAGATTGAGAAGATGAAGGAGAAGGTACGGATGCTTCAGCATCTTTAGGGGCTGGGGAGGAGCACTGTGGAAGTCAGGATTGATAGGAGTTTTCCAGTAGGTGCTATGAAGAGCAGAACAAAGAGACTCATTCCTTTAGTGCCTAATGGCCAAAAGTAAGTCCTTGCTGTCTGCCCTGGAAGAAATTCTAGGTACCGGAAGAACTTGGGCATGGGGGCTCCAAGTTTTTCACCTGTAGCTGATTCATCAGAAACAATAGAAACCTTTCCCAAGCCTGGGAGAGGGACTGCAGACCTAGGGCTTGGCATCAGATGTCCCATATTCAGGGGCAGATGTAATGACACCTTCTTCTGGGTGGCGGTACAAGGATGGAGACCGGTGTTTGCGGGTAGAACCAAAGTGGGACATGCATCAAAAGTAGGGAGCCTCATTAACCTTTCCTGGATTGATCTACATTATGCCCTTGAATCTCATTAAACAGAATTAGAACCCAATTTAAGGCAGACGCGCACAGGGAGTAGCAGCACAATTGTGGTTCTCGAATGTACTGTACTTTCATCTTTTAGAGCACAATCTCCCCTTTTAAAAAAAAAAGTAGAATTGAACTTCTGTTCCCTTTTCAGCGCCAAGCCAAGTACACAGAGAATAAGTTGAAGGCCATTAAAGCCCGGAATGAGTACTTACTGGCTCTGGAGGCAACCAATGCATCTGTCTTCAAGTACTACATCCACGACCTGTCTGACCTTATTGATGTAAGTGCTTAAAGCTGGGGGCTCAAGGGCACCTTTTCCCTGGTTTTGGAGAACTGGTCAGGTGTTCTCCAGTTCTGTTGCTCGGGCATCTTGGAGCATTTTGAGAAGAATTATGAAAATAGTAGCCATGGTCCATTGGGGGCTTGCCATGTTCCAGATAGGAGGTAAAGCCCTTTATGCTTCATCTTACTCAGTTCTTACTACAGTCCTGGGAGGAAGGCACTTTTATCTCCATTTTTACAGTTTAAAATTCAGAGTTTAGATGACTTACCCAGAGTCAGCTAATAAGTGACAGAGGCAAGATTTGTGCCGAGGTCTGATTACCTAAGCCCATGCTCATAACTGCAATGCACTCCTGTCTCCCAGGAAATATTCCCTTGAATCAGCTATTTGCACATAGAAGTGAGTGGCAAGAGCTAAGAGTTAGAATGTGTACCTTATATTTAGATAGTACTTAAACGTCTCTTGGTATTACTTCATTTGACTATCCTGTCACCCTCTGGATCAGAGTTACTATCTCCAATTTGAAGATTAGGAATCTAGGGCTCAAGAATATTACCTGCCCTCAATTACACTGCATTTGAGGGTCCTGGTCAGTAAGGTGGCTAGATGCCCTTGACATCTGGCCCATGCTTTCTGATCTGTGACACAAAGACAATTAGAGAAGCAGATGAGTAAGCACATGTGTTTTGCATGGATTAGGCGCAAGGGTTACGCTTTTTGTCTTTGGCCTTAATGGGTCAGCCTTGGCCTTGTTTCTCCTGCTGCTCGTCTTCAAACGTTATAGTTGAGTCTTGTAGTCTCTCTCACCTGCGGACTCCCACCTGGCCCAGTTTCTGAGCCAGCCCTGACCATAGCTGCATGGGTCCACCCTTCCCTCCAGTCTTGAGTGGGGGACCGGGAGCCAGCTGACTCAGGTGTACCTGGGCTAGTCTCTTCTCCGTGAGGCCTGATATTTGCCTTTAGCTATTCACAGGTAGCCACCTGCCTTTACGAGCTTCTGGTCAGACCTGGCACACTTGCCTGACTTGGTTTCTCAGTGAATGAACCTGCCACACTTCCCAATACCATTTGGGGTCTGGTCTAAGATTCAGGTCATCTGGGGCTCGGCAATGACCTGTTTTGGAACTCTGCTGTGCTACCCTCTCCCCCACCTCTCTCTCGGGCAGACGGAGGAATTGGACTTGATCTTGGTACTGAAATCTGGCTTCACATGCTTGGGGAACTTTTCTAAACTAGTTCCAGGGATTTTAGATTCAGTTGATTTCAGCCTCTTCGTGCCCTGGGTGTCATGGTCTGACCGGGTAAGGGGAGCCCTGAGGCCTGTTTCAGGCTCTGCTTTCTTCTCTTTGTTTGTTGATGCCAATCTCAACACTGTCCTTCAGTGGAGGTCAGAGCCTTAAACAGGATCCTTTCTCCTCGTGAGGGGAATGACTCTTCACTGTTGGGAGAGACACCTGTTCTCAGCAAGGAAGAGAATCAGTTCTTTTTCTGCTATGTATCTCACATTTAGTTTAAAAAAAAAAATCAAGACTCTGCAGTCCATCACACCTCTTCCTCCGGTTTGTCCTTTCCCATTTGCCTTTGCCCCCAGGGCAACTTTCCCGCCCCTTTTGCCAAAATGCCCACCTCAGGGGGAGAGAGGGGCTACTGCTGTGTCAGTCATAACCTTTGCAATCCATAGACCCTCCATGAGATGTGCATAGGTGTTTTAAAATCAGTCCAAGAAGCAAGCGATTTTGCATCTTATTCTCACTTAAAAAGGAGGAGAAGAGGAAAGTTGTGTTAGAGCCCATCTTCATGGGATGCGGTGTGAAGTCTGGTGAAAAAGTAGCCTATCAGCCTCCTTAGCGCTCAGCCAGGATGTGGGTGTAGGTTACTGTGAGCGAGTCCGGGTTGGTGGCGTTCCAGGCCACTCAGATAGTAAAGTTGCTCTTGTTTTGCTTGTTGTTTGTTTTGTTTTTGTTTTTCTTAAGGTGAGGACAGATTTATTACTCTTTTTCTTTTTAAAGCTGATAACATTATGCAGCTAAGTAAATATTTATTTGGAATGAGGCTGTGTGCTTAGCATCAAGGGTATAAAATGTATAAAATAATTTTTGCCCTAGAGGTTTTCATAGACCTACAAAGAGATAATTTCTATGCAACTGGCTAACTGCAAAGCTAAGGGAAGCCCAGGGTGTCCTAGGACAGTGTTCTTCAAACCATAAGTCATGATCCATTGGGGAAGTCATGAAATCACTTTTATGGGTTTGACTTATTTTTTTTCAATGAATGAACTAGAATAGAACAGAATAGACTAGAATAGAATAGGAAGGAAAATGAAATATCTAGGTACATCATACTTAGTAAGGTTAAGTTTTATTCTGTGAAACTGTTAGGTGTGTGCATGTGTGTGTGACAAGATGAATTTCTTCCTGTGAGCTGGAAGTCAAAAAAAGTTTGAGTCATTGCACTAAGAACAGAGAAATGTCTCTTAGTGTCTGTACACTCCATGAAGGCAGGAACCAAGTCTTCTTTTTACCTTAATGTATAAAATGGGGCACCTGGCTGGTTCAGTCGGAAGAGCATGCAACTCTTAATCTCGGGGATGTGAGTTCGAGCCCCGTGTTGGGTGTAGAGATTACTTAAATATATAAGAAAACTTTATATATTAAGGTGTTGTGTTTTTTTTTTTAAACATACACGCAGTGCTTAATACATAGCTGAGCACATAGTATATTCATTGAAGGAAGCAAGGAATAGAAGGAGGAGGAAGGTGATGTCCTAAGGCAAGATTTTTTTTCTTTTTGTGCCTCGTAATACTGCCCAGAGATATATATACTGCCTGAACTTAGGTGTTACAGTTTCAAGAGTTATGATAAATTCAAACACCCTTATAACCTACATCTCTTATCAAGATAGAGAGTATTTCCATTGCCTCAAAAAGTTCCTCTTTTCTCTTCCCAGTCAGTCCCTCACCCCAAGGCAACCACTGTTGTGATTTCTTTCACCATAGTTTTGCCTATTGTAGAATTTCACAAAGATGGGATTTTACGGTACGTACTTTTCGTACCTGGCCTTTTTTGCCCAGTGTGATGTTTCTGAGCGTCACCCCTGCTAGTGCATGTATCAGTAGTTTCCTGGATGATCAAGGCAATAAAAATGGCCCAAAGGACACCTGAGCAACACACCAACAGTTAGGGCAGGAGTGAATGGGGAGCCTGGGTACCTTGGCGTTCTGATCTTGACAGGATCCAGAACTTGCTTTAAGACAAGGGATGAATCTTGCACAGTCTGCCGCCATCTGTGTTACGGGCACCATGCTGCCTCCTTCCTCGTGGTGTGGAAGTGTAGTGTGTGCTGAAGGCCTGGAGGGTAAGTGAAAGGAAGTTATTTTTGTCGATGCCCGTACACTGACACCAGGACTAGCCTTTGACTTCATTTTATAATATAAGAAGATTTAAACTTGGACTGTAGAAACCCACATGAGGCATCTGACATGCACCAGGGAAGTCTTGACTTCAGGCCAAAAACACACTCTGAGCTGACTTGATGGAGTCTAAGAACCATAGGCTCATTGGAATGTGGCTTTCCTCCCCCGTCCTCCTGTGGCTTTCCCAACCCAGAAGCAGATGGATGAATGAAGAACAGGGCATTGTCCGCATGCATAGCTGGGGGCTTGTGAGGACTCCGTACATGGGTAGAGAATCTGTGACACCGTGTGCACCCAAGGTGGACATGAAGGAACGCAGCTTTCTTCATAGGAAATTTTTTTATTAAGATTTTATTTATTTATTTGACAGAGAGAGATAGCTAGAGAGGGAACACAAGCAGGGGGAGTGGGAGAGGGAGAGGCAGGCTCCCTGCCGAGCAGGGAGCCCGATGCGGGGCTCGATCCCAGGACTCTGGGATCATGACTTGAGCCGAAGGCAGATGCTTAACCAACTGAGCCACCCAGGTGTCCCTTCATAGTAAATTTTTTAAAGGGCATTTATTTATCTCTTCCGTGTGAACTAGAAGTGGATGTTATGAAACACCCATGTTTCTTTTCTAGGCCTTCTCTAGAGTCTCTGGGTGAGGACTGTGAACTAGTAAAGGGTTAATGAGCTGTCAACTCAAGTCATCACACATCTGGATGGGCTATCATTAAATTCTTATAAAAATTTGATTTCCCCTGAGAGAGTTTTCATCAAACATTTATATAACCCAGAAGTGGCCGGGGGAGCTCGGCATGGCCACGGAACTCATCAGAAGCCACCGAAAGCATACTTTGTCCCCATTGTGAGGAAGAATAATGCGTTGCCTCTACTCACTGGGATTCTCCTGGGAACAGAGATGAAATAGTCAAATCTCCTTTACCTAACCCTTGCCAGCAATTGCTTCTTTGCTAAGGTGTACCTGGCCATCGTGCTTGCGGAGATCTGTGCATAGCGAAGGCTCTGTAAAACCCAGCGCGAGTCTCCCTGGTTGGCTGGAGGCACAGAGGAGCCAGAGGGCACATTGTGGGTCGGTGGCACAGAGGAGCTACAGAAGAGTTATATAAATGAGGCAGCAGGCAGCCGGGAAAAGCTCCCAGCCTTCCATTGGCCGTACGGAGTGAGCAAAACTAGGGGCTTTGGTGGCCACGTCTACCCATTTGACTTAGATCGGTATTCAGCCTAAATGGATGATTCCTGAGAGCCTAGAATCTGTACTCTGGGCATCAATCGGTCCATCCACTGATGTGTATAAAATGCTTACTTTGAGCAAGGCTTCATGGTGGGGGATACAAAGAAGCAGTGACACTGGCCAGGACCTCTTTGACGCTTGTCTTCTTGTTGGGGTGATAGGAATTGGCAAGTGTCAGAGTGAGGGAGTGTGTCCTGTGTCATGTGAGGGCTGGTGTGGTGTGGTCCTGAGTAGAGGCCAAGGTCAATAGATGCCACGGTTGCAGGGCTGGCTGGCTTCCCAGAGGCTGGGAATTTGATTTGGATTTTGAAGATGGGGTCCATTTCCAACAACTGGGAGGAGTGGGAAATATGTCAAGAAGGGAGAATGCTGGGAAACGGCAGAAGTCTGTGGATTTGGGGATGTTGGTGATTGAGGTGGAAGTGTCTGCACGGTGCCAGATGTGGATAAATACATTGCCTGTTGCCAGCCTCACGACAACCGATGAGGCTGGTGTTGTCCCCATTGGAGGCTGAGATGTTAAATTGCTCACTCATGGTCACGCAGCTGATTTGAGGCCTGCTGTTCTCCCATACTCTGCCCTAAGCGGGAGCATGTCCTTGGTTAGAGCAGAAGAGTCTGAGGAAGGGAACATAGGAAGATGATGTTGATGGTCAGACTGCAAGACATACTAGAATTTGTTCTGGCTGGTGACCTTGCTTAACTTCCCGTACCCTCAACATTCTAGTCTGGGAAATGAAGATAATACCAGCCTCACTGGGATTATTATGAGGATTCGGATGCAGAATGTACATAAAGCACTTAGCATGCGTCAGGCATACGGTAAGCATACTTAGTAAAATAGAGGTATTTTTAAATACCCAAACTGAGGAAGGTGGACTTCACTTTAGAAAAGACTAAAGGCTTATGTAGGTTCTTCAGCAGGAGTGGCCTAACAAAAGCTATCTTTGAAGAGAGTGAAGCAGACAGCACTGATGTAGGATAAGGGTATGAATCAGGGTAGAGGTAGAGAGAATGGAGTCACCAAAAATGTAAAGGTGATGAAGGGTACCCCGCCTCCCCCAATTCTCTTCTGCACTAAAAAGCTCCCCACTTGCTCAGCCCTTGTGTTCACAGACTCACAGTCATCCAGTTCATCATCAGCGTCTGCACAGTTAGTCAGGAAGGTTTCCAAGTTCAAGGGCAGCCTGGCTAGACCAGCAGCGTCTTTCAGAGGAAGAAGGGCCCCTGCACGCGAAGTCTCCCAATCAGCTGCTTTTGTCTTGCTTCCATTTGCTTTTCCCTCCCAACTGAATTGAATGTCTTTCCATCCTCCGCCTCTAGTCAAGCTGTAACTGCTGTTCTTCCCCTGCCGCCAGGCACCTGCCGCGCTGTTGGCACTGACCCAGAGCCCAGCCCGACAGGCGCTCTGTCGCTGAGCTACTTGTCAGATGCTAGGAGGAGGAGGCACATCACGTGCTTTTTCCTCCCCAGTCTTGGCTGCTCCCGGGGTGAACAGGATGAGGGGAAAGGCTGGAGGAAGTCCGTTTGATGCCTGCCTATGGAATGAAACTGTAGTCAGGCACATGGTCTGACTCTATCCGTGGATTCTTCTCGGACATTTCTTCTCAGGTTCTGGAACTCAGAGCTGCCTCAGCAATAGAGGGGATAATGGATGTCCAAGGAATTTGGATCTCGGGGTCCTTTGGGAGGGATGGGGAATAGTGTTGTAGAGTTACAGAATGCCACTGCTGAAGAGGGCCTTAGACATTATTAGTCCAAGTATTTTCAGACTTTTTCTCGAGCAGAATTCTTTCTTCAAATCAGACCTTACATAGAATCCCAATCTATTGGGCGCCTGGGTGGCTCAGTCCGTTAAGCGTCTGCCTTCGGCTCAGGTCATGATCCTGGGGTCCTGGGATCCAGTCCCGTGTTGGGCTCCCTGCTCGGTGGGGAGTCTGCTTCTCCCTCTGCCCCTCCCCCCACTGGCACGCGCGCGCGCTCTCTCTCTCTCTCTTTCCCCCTCTTTCTCATTCTCTCTCTCAAAAATAAATAAAGTCTTAAAAAAAATAAAAGGATCCCAATCTATTAAGTAGATAAAAGAGCAGAGCTGGTTTGGCTGAACCAGAGATAGGAGGCTCCAAGTCCTACTGGTTGCTGCCCTTTTACCCCCTTCTCAAGGGCAGCCTGAGCAGGGGCATAGAACCTCACAGCTCTGATCCGCAGCTTAAAAACCACCGACTTGGCCACATCTGTTCATTTTACAGCCGAGGGTACAGCTTCAGGGTTGGGGACTGGCTTTTCCAAGGCTGCTTGACTTCCTGTCCAGTGCTTTTTTTTTATACTGTTGCCTCTCATACTTTTTTTTTCTCCAATTTTGCTTTAGAAAATCAGAATCCTTTACATGATCTGCATTGTCCCAGTAAGACTGACACTTAGAAATTTTTGGTCTTATAAATGGTATTTTTGTTGGGCGGGAGCTTTAGTGCAGAAATCCGAGTCTGCTGCTAAGGCCAGTCCTAGAACATCGGGAGCTGGTGGGGGTGACAACTGATGATAGGGTCTGCTCCCCACTCTCTTCTTCTCCCGCTGGAGTTCAGTGTTGGTGTAAATGAACTGCTCTTGCGACACTTGTGTGAGTTGTGAACCTTAAATGCTGAAATGGCCTGGCTTGGTTCGTATGTAGTGACTTGACCACAGTGACCCTCAGGGAGTGGCAGGCCATATTTTCATTGTTGAATTTTGTTATCATGGCATCCCGAGAGAAACCCTAAAGTGGAAGAGGAGTCCCTTCAGCCCTCAGCCCTTTTCCTGTTTCCTAAATAGCCCTGTGCAGTGCATGACGATATAATTTCCTTCTGTCCCACTGAGTCCTCTTCTTCCCAATCAGCCTATAGTCCTCTGAGGTGTGTCTTCCATTGAATTGGGAGTGGAAACCAGAACTCTCACCTGGATCTTGGAAGTCAGAATGTCAGCCTTCTGGCTGCACGGCCAGTCCCCATGATATGGTCAGAGCTGCCCCGGGGGCCACCTCCCTTTCTGCCAAGCCTTGGGACTGTCTATGGTTCACTCATGTGCCTTCTCCGTCCCACAGCAGTGTTGTGACTTAGGCTACCATGCTAGCCTGAACCGGGCGCTACGCACCTTCCTCTCCGCTGAGTTGAATCTGGAGCAGTCAAAGCACGAGGGTCTGGATGCCATCGAGAACGCCGTAGAGAACCTGGATGCCACCAGTGACAAGCAGCGCCTCATGGAGATGTACAACAATGTCTTCTGCCCACCAATGAAGTTTGAGTTCCAGCCCCACATGGGAGACATGGTGAGGCCTTCTTCCCATCACCACACTCCCTAAGGGGCTCGAGCTCACTTGTGCCTGGATTCACTACACTAAGGGCACCTTATTCTGGGGAGAGCAAGGCCCGGGGCTGGCTTCCCGTCAGGTGGGTGGAGGAGCATTCCACTCATTCGGCAAATAGCGACTGAGCAGCAGGAAGCGACTGAGCGTCTGCTGGGCTCGACCATAGGCACTGGGGATTAGGGCCCTCAGGGAGCTTCCAGTCTGGTGGGTTGAGAGAGAGTTGGAAATATGCATAGGGAGGGGCACCCAGAGGGTCCAGCGGGATCAGAGGAGGTGAAAAACAGCAGTTGTATAAAAACTAACTGTTCAGTATGGCAGAGGGAAGATTTGGAGGAGGCCTCCAAATGGTGAGTCTGGTAGAGCTGAGATGGGGCCAGATACTCAAGGCTTTTGATGGGGAGGGAGGGCTAAGTGGGGCAATAATGATGTGATCTTCTGTCACTTGGCAGAGATCTAAAGGATCTTATTCTCTTGAGATTAGAAGATTGCAATAAAAGGGGTAGCTTTGCTTGGGTATTGAGCAAAAAAAAATGGGTAAGACAGAGAAGAAGGAGCTAAGATGTCATCCCCAAGTCCTGATGCTGTCTGCCCAGGCTGGGGAACAGGAACATGGGGGCCCTGTGTTGAACTTTTCCCCTCCAAGACTAAAACGAAAAGGGCCTAAACAAAGTGAGAGAAACGAGCAGCTCTTTGGTTTTCATTACTCTGAATCTTTTGGTTCCACTTGGGGTGGTTCTGCATGCATATCAGAGTGAACCATACTCCTGTCGGTAGGAGCTACCCTTTAACCTCCGGGCTAAATCGGAAGGAGGATGTATAGGCTTACGTAATAGAAACAGATGGATCTTCAGGCGTGGCTGGATTTAGGAGTGGCAGTTTATCAAGACTCAGATTTTTGTTGTTGTTTCTCTCTCTCTGCTTCACATCTTGTATCTTGGGCTCTATTCTAGGTAGGCTCGCATCCCATCAGGGCAAAGTGACTGTATTTACAGCCTAATCTTCTTGTAGGTCCAAATCCAGTGGAAGGAGTACCTGCTTCCCTCCTAGAAGCCCCCACAAAATTCTCATTGTGTCTTCTTCATTCTGATTGGCTGATGAGTTTATCCCTGAGCCAGTGATCGTGGCTGGGTGTCTATAGTTGGCTGATTGGCTTATGCCTAAGTCACATGCTCCATCCTGGAGTTGGGGAGAGCCTCATCCAAAACACATGACCTGAGTTGTGGGGTGGGAGGTTCCCCCAGAGGATAGTCAGGCCAAAGTTGTCAGGAGGAGGAGGAAGGGATGCGAGGTGACTGAAAAACAACCATGTCCTCTCAACAAGGGAATGGTGTTTCCAATAGGATTAGTATCCAGATGCTTTTTAGAAGACCCTGTCCCAGAATGACAACTGTTGGCAGTGTAACTAGAGGATTCGCTGTCATTGATAGTCCACAGTGGAGAATGGGACATTTCTATCCTAAAGGCAAAAACGTCGAGATGATTTCTTTCCTCTCCTCAGGGAAAACCAAACCATATACAGTTTGTTTCCATTTCTGTGACTTAGGAAATGTCAGCATCTGAACAGATGGGGAAGTGAAATGGCAGTGTATGCAGTCAGAGTTGGGGGGTGGTGTCACCGAGCCCCCAGGAAGCCCCATTCCTCACCGGCCCTGGCTCCTGGTCCGACTTTTCTTCCAGTCCCCTTCTCCAGCTGCCACTGACATTCCTTCCCAAGAATCGGTGCAACTTGGGCACCAGCTGAGCAGAGTGATACATTTTCTGGTGTTGACTGAGTTGCCTTCAGAGCCAAGCAGCTTGTCTCCATAAAGGGAGAATCCAAATGCCGGGTGCTCGGGCCTCGTCGTAGCCCCGTCAGTGCCTCAGTTTCATACTGCGGAGCACAGCTGAAATGCATGACCTTGCACCCCAGTAGAGGACTTCTGCCAAAGCATGCATCAGCAGCCCTGCTGCTTCTTAAAGGCATAGGCGTGGAGGTCATTTTCCTTCTGTGAGTCCTCCCTGCTAGGTCTGGGTTACTTTAAATCAATAGTTCACTCTTCGGCCTCCGCCCTGCCTTTGTGTGATACGGCTGATCAGTGGCTGAGCAGGCAGGGGCCAGGGTCAGCCCTAGATCTTGCATGCTCCCCATGCAAAGGTTCTGCATTCCAGCCCAGCCTTCCTAGGAGTAGAAAATAAAAAGAGATGAGAAGGCGAGTTTTTCTTGGTCCCCGCAGCCAGTCTATCCCCACCAGTGTGGGCTGTCTGTAGACTGTGGAGGCAACAAGAGAGAGCTGCCTGGAAGTCCTTGAACTAGGGCCAAGGTTCGGGTGGCATTTTGACCGGAAGCCCTGAAATTGGCCAAGGCCCCACACTGACTGGTGTTGTGGGGCGCTCAGCACATGAGTTGATGCCAGGCACTCTCAGATGTACTAGGAGGAGGTGCTTGGCTCTACCCTTCGTGCCTCCAGAGGCTTGTGGGGCTCTGGATGCCTGACCAGTGACATCAGGCAGCCAGAGAGTTTCACTCTTGGCTCTCACCCATCCTGGCCACTGAGCTTTCTCCATTGTGTCTGCTTATCCAAGAGCCGGAGTGAAGTCAGCTCTCTTCAGATCTGAGAGCTGGCTCAGGCCAGCCCCTCAGCTGGGGGAGGAGGTCAAGTCGGTTGGGAGCTTAAAAGCCAATGGAGGAAAAGGTCAAGTCCCAGCCCCCTCCATTTGAAGAGAGGTTTTGTCTTCCAAGCAAGAGAATGGTCTGTGGGCATGTGAATGTGCCCACTCATTGCTGAGGAAGAAGGAGTCCAGTTCTGTCCAGATGTCTCTCTGCAGACAGCAGGCTAAGGGACACATGGTGGCAAGGTGACAGGAGCTGCCTCCACGTGGGCCCTCCTTCCTCATCTGCCAGCCTGGGGACTGTGGGTGACCTCGTGCCCATGCCATAGCCATGCCCCTGTCGGGAGACTCTGGCTCAGGCATCTTTTCCCAGAGGGAAAAGCTTATCGACGGCAGTCCTTAAGGGCAGGGCAGACTCCTTGCCCACACAGATCTGGTGCAAACCTGGGGCAAAAGGATGGCTCTTTGAAAGTGCCAAGTTCCACCAGATTCTGTGCCCTCTGGGGCCCTCCAGCACAGCCCGTGGACTTGTTCCTGGCTTTACACTTTCTCTCGTTGAGTCAGAGTTCTCATGCGTGGCCCAGATTTATAAACACATGCTGGCTGCCGGCGCGGCAAGCTAGCCTCCTGACCCACTTCTCTCCTGCTTTCACTCTGGTGCACGGAGTGGGGGGTGAAGGAGGGGCCGGAGAGGTGGCCACTCGGACTTCTAGCAGGAAATCCTCTCTGCCAAAGCATTGTGTAGGTGGAGCTGGGGCTGCCCGAGGCACCCTGTTCTGGCCTAACGCTGGCTTCCGCGGAGCCGCAGAGCCTGCCCGACGCCAGCCTGGGGATGAGCCCCCACACAGAGGGATCTGGTCTTTCCAAACAGGTCCCACTTCTCATTCCCTCCTTGTGCTGTTTGGTCCCGGAAGAGGTTCACACACGCTGCGTTTGGATTTTTGTTTGCACATAGAAACTGTGAGGCTTACAGCTTGAACATGAGGACTTTTATTAGTAGTAATGGGACTCTGGAACCACCAGAAGAACTGTGTCCTCTTCTGACCCGGTGTTGCTTTTTTTCGGCAGGCTTCCCAGCTCTGTGCCCAGCAGCCTGTCCAGAGTGAGCTGGTGCAGAGATGCCAGCAGCTGCAGTCTCGCCTGTCCACTCTGAAGATTGAGAACGAGGAGGTGGGTTTCCTGCTTAGGAGACTTGGAGCCACCCTCCGTGTTTCCCTGTTGAACCTCTTTCCTGCTGCCCCTCTGGGAGCAGGTGGAAGGAGCATGCAGAGAATGTCCGGGCTGCCGCAAACATTTCCTAGCCAAATGTAGCCTTGGATTTTCCCCCTCTGCTGCATCCTGCCCTTGAACTCCAGGAAGTTGCTCTTGCATTGCCAAAGGTTGAGCTCTATTTTGAGCTTTTGCAAAATGCTTTTTTTCTTTCCCCCTCTACACACATTTAATCAAAATGGCACTTGGCAGCTGTGTGAACAATATTGTGTCGCTGAAGCCACCCCCTCATGCCTGGCTTTTTCCAGCATTTTCAAACAAACAGAGGCCTTTGACTTTGACACTTAAAACATCTCCATCCTCTTAGAAAGGGGGGACTTTCTTCTGGGCCCAGTGTCCTTGCTTTTAACAACTAGTTCAAAAGAGCAGCACGATTAATTATCCAGCTTCTTGCTTTTGTGCTCACGGGATTTCTTCCCTAGCATCTCAGTCAGTCTTACTTTTCCCGGGAAGATCAGGAAAGACTGGGGGTGGGGTCACTTCGTTTGCGAATCGGGGAGCAAATCCACTGATTTGTTGAAGGTCATGAAACAGCGCGCGGGGCATGGCAGGCCCCTCTCACATTTTAACTAGCTCTTTACATCATGAGCTTGGTTTGGATTTGTTTTATTCTCTCCGTTAGCACTTCCATTGTAGCCCAGAGCTAATACTAAACTTAAAAAGTCAACACTAAATATAAGAGCTGGGTCAAATGCCTAGCATGAAGAGGGGGTGGTTTTGAGGTCCTCCCTGGAGAGAGGAGCACTGTAAAACAGAGTCCATGTGATGGCCACATCACTCACTCAGCACCGTCTGATGGGGAGCAGAGCTGCCCCTTCTGACAGCACCCCCCCGGCCCCTCCAGCCACTCCTCTCCCACTCCTCCCAGCTTCTCCATCACCTGCCCCTCTGCAGCCTGCCCCTCACGCGTTATATTGGCCCTTGTCGTGGCAGGTAAAGAAGACGATGGAAGCCACTCTGCAGACCATCCAGGACATTGTGACTGTTGAGGATTTTGACGTGTCCGACTGCTTCCAGTACAGCAACTCTATGGAATCCGTCAAGTCCACGGTCTCAGAAACCTTCATGAGCAAGCCCAGCATTGCTAAGAGGAGAGCCAACCAGCAAGAGACCGAGCAGTTCTATTTCACGGTGAGGGGGCTCAATGGCTCTGGAAGAGCGCCCACAGCCCAGAGGGAGACTTGGAACCCGGAGTCCTTGTCAAGTGCTGGAAGGGCAGTCTTTGAATATCTTGATTTGGATCTGGGCATATTCGGAGACCATTCCTCAACTTCAATTAAGACACAGATATCTCTAAGTTGTATGTGTCTAACAGGGACCCCCAAGAGAAGGGTGCTCCCACGTACACCGCCAGGAAGAAAAAGAATTTTCTTTTTTTCCTTCCCCCAGAAGACTTTTTTTTTTTTTTTTTTTTTTTAAAAATTTTTGTTAACCATCTAGTAGGCTTCTGTTGGAACGTTTCCTTCTCAGCCATAGGGGGGGTCACGAAAGGAGATCTTTATTTCTTAGTTCTTGGGAACTACATCCAAATATTCTGGCTAACACCTATCTTATTTCTAAAGTTGATAATCTCTGCTAGGTGATGCGATGACTTTTTTATAATTTTGGTGATGGGAAATTATCTTTCATAATTATGACTAAAATTCAAAAGGACAGGTAATATGCAGTGTCGTTGGTTTGCAGAGAATTCCAAAACACTGTATTTTCTTATCCATGTATCTCCCACTCTTCTGTTAGACAAACGGACCCGATTTTTTTTCAAGTTGTGTTAACAGTCCTTGGGAAGGATGCTGGCTGCTCTTTGGTGCTGCTTTTTAATAATTAAGTTATTTTGAGCTTGCCAAGTAGGATTCTTTGCCTGGACTAAAATTTATTTTCTCATCTTCTGACAACCAAGAAAGGAGAAATTAAATTTGCAGATGTGAGATGAAATATAGCTAGTGAATATGCATACTGATTCTGAATGAGAGGGATTAACTTGTTTTTCAGTCAAGAAACATAGTCTGCATGCAGTAAATTGAATTTTTCCTCCAACTGGAACAATTTGTTTAATTCTTCTTTGAACACTGCCCTTTCTCCATTAAGAACACTAGTGATTTGCTATCTTCTCTAAAAAAAGAAATCTATTTTTTTACTTAAACTAAGAATTCTTCACATTTTTTTTGATCCTAGAGAAGGCTGTTGAAAAAGAATGATTTAACAGTATTATTCTTTTAAAATAACTTTTTTCTTGTTACATGAAGCAAAACATGCGTATGATATAAATTTAGAAACAAAAAGGAAGAAAATAATCATCCACAATAGCACTACCTTGAGATAAGAGTGTTAATGTATTCCCTTCCTGTTTTTTTTCTCTGCACACACAAACATCTATGTGAATATGTATTTAAAATGTATTATAAAAAGTGGGATATTGGCTGTGCATATTGTTTTATAATCTGCTTTCATTTAACAGGTGATTAATATTTTTCCAATTCATTTCATCATAACATTCTTTAAGTATACTTATGAGTGAAATACTAAAATCTGCACAGAGAAATAACAGAATGATATTTTGGCCCATTCATCCTTTTTTGTAAAATATTTAGCACACTGCCTGGTTTGTAGTTAGTGCTCAATAAGTGCTGAAAATTTATTGTCACTACAGTCATTATTAATGTATTCATTAGTCATTATTGAATTAGTCATCGATAACTTATCAAGGATCTTCTATGTGCCAGGCACGATGCTAAAGCTGGGAATGCCGGGGGTGTGGAGTGAAGTGGGGAATGATGGGATTAGGCATCCTAAGGGACAACTTCCTTTTTCACTTTATATGTTTCTAAATGTTACAGTAGGTTGATTTTTGCAATCAAAAAATAAGTATGAAAAATTTTCGGTGCATACATGCACACGCACATGAATGGTGACCAAGATGGGTGGAGTTGGTGAAACATCACATACAAAGTGACTTTTGTGCTTGACCTTGAGGGATGAGTGAACCAGGCAGTGAATTAAGTAGAGAATGGCATTCCTTGAGGAAAGAGCAGTCTCTGCAAAGCATAAAGGCATGCGAAGCCCCAGCTAGACAGAACGAGGACTTCTTGTCTGTCGTGAGGGCTGTCTTGCCACCCCAAGCTTTCTTATCTCCGGAGGTTGTTGAACACTCTAGAGGCTTTTAATAATAGGATTGTTCGGCTGGTCTGTCTGCACTGCTTAGATACAACACTACTTAATGACCCAATCTCATTACATTGCAGAAGATTTCCATTTTTTTATTAAATAAGAAATTTTGACATAAAAGTCTGTATTTAAGACCGTCAGAATTACTTTTTGGCTTTCAGTGAAGCAATGACATGTGTATGCAAGCTGACCTTTAGTAAGAGCAGGGATGACCATGTTCAAACCGGTGACCTCTCAAATCCTGCCCACCCCTTCACCCCTAGCCCACTTCCTGCCTTTTGTAGCTGGAGTGCTACTTACCAAAATTGTGTGCAAATTTCCATAGCTAACAGGAACGTTTTTTTGTCTGGGCTTCTGTAGTAATCGATGTATAAGAGAATTCATCATGTTCGTGACTGGTGCTGGGAATGCATCAAATAATTCATTTCATGATAAAAGGCCTTCTTGGGGGTGGTGAAATGGAAATTTTAGAAAAGGGGGTTGTGCATATTATATTAGCATGACTACCTGTGCTTGCCAAACCACACGAAGCCCGCAGAACTGCAGATGTGCTTTTCCTAGTCTGTTGTCTCCACAGACGTTGCCCCTGGTTTTTTCTGTGTCCTTCAAAAACATCAGAGTAGCGCATCCTAGAAGCTCCCTTCTCTTGGAAAGTTGCGAAGAGGTCCCTTACAATGGCTTTGACCTGTAGGGAGTGTGCCTAGCAACCCAGAGGGCTGCTAGAAAGCTGTCTAGCCATTCTCGGCTGTCATCAGATTGATCTGCCCAGATGACATCGATTGGAAATTTGAAGCACATCCTATAAAGGTCAGTCATTTGCAGTAGTCCCAAGAAAATAAGCACAGAATTTAAAAGCTTGCAGTGATTTTTAGAAATCATCTAACCAACCTTCTCATTTGAAAGATGAAAAAAACCAAAAAACTCCCAAATCCAGGGAAGTTGAGTAGCTATTCCAAGGGACTCAGCAAGAGCTGAAACTAGAACTCTGGGGGGCACCTAGGTGGCTTATGACGGGTTCAGCGTCTGACTCTTGATTTTGGCTCAGCTCATCTTAGGGTGACGAGATCGGGCCCCTTGATGGGTTCCATGCAGGGTGTGGAGCGTCCTTAGGATTCTCTCTCTCCCTCTGCACCACTGGCTGCCCCGCCCCAGCTCACACATGCTCTCTAAATAGATAAATAAATAAAACTGAAACTCAGGTCACCTGGTCTTAGGCCATTGGCTTTCTCCTCTCTTTTGCCCTAAGTGAGGCTGTGTTTCCTGATCTCCTGGGGTTTGCATCACTCATCTTTTAGAACACACGATCCAGCAGTGTCTACTTTTTATCCCATTGGTTTTTTTTTTAGCTGTGATTGTTAAAAAAAATAATAATTTTTTTTTTAAAGCTACAAAGAGTTCAAAAGAGCATACAAAATAAGTCACGCTTCCCCCCTTCTCTGACCCTCACTTCCTCTCCCCTCTGCCAGAGATTGAAACCAGTTTCTTCTGTGTTCTTCCAGAGATATTCTATGTGTAGACAAGCACCAACTTATCCTTTAATGCAATAGAATTACATTAGAAATATAATGAAATCGGGCGCCTGGGTGGCTCAGTTGGTTAAGCGACTGCCTTCGGCTCAGGTCATGATCCTGGAGTCCTGGGATCGAGTCCCGCATCGGGCTCCCTGCTCGGCAGGGAGTCTGCTTCTCCCTCTGACCCTCTTCCCTCTCGTGCTCTCTATCTCTCATTCTCTCTCTCTCAAATAAATAAATAAAATCTTTAAAAAAAAAAAAAAAGAAATATAATGAAATCAAATAAAGAGAAGTATAAATAAAAGTAGACCACTCATGCTATTCTTCACTTTGCTTTTTTCACTTAATTTTTTTCATATTAGTCCAAAGAGATCTGCCTCCTCACAGAATTCCATCGTATGAATGGATGTACCATCATTTATTTAACCAGTTCCCAGCTTGTGGGAAGTCATGCTCCTTTGTTTAGCCAAGGGTTGTCAAAACCTTGTAAGGCTGGCATTTCTCCTAAGTATTTCCCTGTATGGGGGTTGGAGTATGGCGGAAGGAGTGAAGAAGGAGTTAAAGGTCATGGCTGATAAAATAAAGACAAACTGCCTGAATCCTTGGGCACAGAATTGGTAAGAACATAGGAGACAAGATGGCACCTTGGCCATTGGGGCAGTGCCCTAGACCTAGATTTGGTGTGGTCCAAGATCTTTTTTTTATCTTGGTCTTCTCCTACAGGCATTTAGGAAATGTGTGCTAAGTAGGTACCTACTGAGCCCCTACCCTGTCAGTTAAAGAGGGAGATGGCTGCCGATTGCAGGTCTGCTCTATTACATATTCTCTCTGACAGCCGTTTCCTGCTTTACAAATTGACAAAGAGGAGAGAGAGGTCAGTGCGCTTGGATGGTGGGGAAGCAACCACCCCAGAATGACATTCGTTTGTCTCTGTGCATGGGGCTGGCTAGACACAGCTCCCTCCTCCCACCCACCTCACCCCTTTGTAGCAGTGGGCATTTAAGGTCTTTAGTTCACACAGATTAAATCCAAGGCATAGGGGCGCCTGGGTGGCTCAGACAGTTAAGCGTCTGCCTTCGGCTCAGATCATGATCCCGGGGTCCTGGGATCAAACCCCGCTTCGGGCTCCTTGCTCAGTGGAGCGTCTGCTTCTCCCTCTCTTCCCTGCTCATGCCCTCTGTCTCTCAAATAAATAAATAGTATTTTTTTTTTTAAATCCAAGGCATAAACAAGGTCCATGAGTTTTATACTGCCATGGTATTAAAGGGAAGAGGTATTTTAAATTAAATTGGAAAAGCATTCTTGTTGCCTCTAACTTTTTTTTTTTAAAGGCCAGAAACCTGTTTTGATTCAGCTGTCTTATATATTAGCACAAAGCAAAGCAGTTTAGGGAAGTTGTGTTTTTAGGTTGTCTGAGCAGGTGATTCAGGTACAAGGAATATTCTTGACTACCCGCTCATTGGCTGGACTGCGTGCTATAATCATGGTCATGCTCGTTACCCTGTTTCATCTGCTAACAACCTTGGGAAAAAGATATTATTATCCCTGTTTTTCAGAGGGGGGTAAGTGACTTGTCCAAGGTAAGCGGTAGGACTACAATAGCTCAACTAAGACTCTTTCATTTTGCTGCAACAGAAATGTATGTCAGGGAGGAAAAGCCCTAAGAGAAAAACTGTTACATTAATACTTTTCAATAAATAAAGTTCATTGCCAACAGTTAATAACCAGTTAGGAATTATTAAGAAATAAATTAATGAGGGCGCCTGGGTGGCTCAGTTGGTTAAGCGACTGCCTTCAGTTCAGGTCATGATCCTGGAGTCCCACATCGGGCTCCCTGCTCAGCGGGGAATCTGCTTCTCCCTCTGACCCTCCCCCCTCTCATGTGCTCTCTCTCTCTCTCTCATTCTCTCTCTCAAGTAAATAAATAAAATCTTAACAAAAAAGAAATTAATGAGATCGTAAAAATGGAATTGAAGGCTCACAGTGGCAAACAAAACAAGACCACCCCATAGACTTTTTGCCTCCCTTCCTACTTTTTTTTTTTTAAGGATTGTTATTTATTTATTTGTCAGAGAGGAAGACAGCAAGAGAGGGAACACAAGCAGGGGGAGTGGGAGAGGGAGAAGCAGGCTTCCCGCTGAGCAGGGAGCCTGATGCGGGGCTCGATCCCAGAACCCTGGGATCATGGGACCATGACCTGAGCCGAAGGCAGATGCTTAATGACTGAGCCCCCCACGTGCCCCCCTCCCTTACTACCTTTTGAAGAAATTCTCAGTTTTCATAATAGTGTAAAATGTGGAGGTAGGGGAATGTCTCTGGTCAGACTGTGTATTAGGAACTTGGTTTTAGTTTGGTGATCTAAAATAGAATCCTGCCCTTTCTCTTCTCCCCTGATGACAACTCAAGGTTGGTGACTTTACTTTTGGCTGTTTGGGAGGGGAGCAAGGTGCAGGGAAAGGAGTGAAAGAAATGAATTACCTGTGTCAGAACTTGCTTTAAATGAGGAAAGTGACCCTTATCGACCAAGGCAGGGATTTAGAGATAACACATAAACTGTTCTTTTTGTGGCCAGCGGGTCTCCAGAAGTCGTCAGAAAGCCACTTATGCCTTCCTTCCCTTCAGCTGCCTCTGCTCCTTTCTCTGTGTGTCCTGTCAGCATCTGAGGTCTTCTGCCAGTAAAGGCCAGGTCGTTTCTCCCAGCTTCTGTCTCATACACACCAGGGCTGAATAACAGGCGGGAGAGGGAGGTGACAACGTGCCCAGGAACTCTGGGGTGGCTTTTCCCTCCCACCCCCAGCTTCCCTAGATGGAAGACTTCCAACCATTGTTTCCACTATTAGGGATGCAGGTCAACCTCGACATAGTTTTTGATCCTTCAGGATTTTGTGGAACCTGAAAAGGTGATCCATCATACGTCTTTATCAGATTGTTATTTATTTTAATGGTTCACCACGTGACAGCCAGAGTTAACTTGTGAACTGTCACATGAGTGAAAAAGTGATTTCCAGAATCACAAGTAGAAACATGGGTGAGAGGAAGGAATTTGCATCCATTTCCTTTGAGAATTTTGTCTGTTTTCGGAGCAGTCTGGTCTTGTCTTAAGGGTTACAGTTTTTTGGTGAGGTTTTTTTTTCCTCGTTAGGAAACCTTTAGAGTCTCTTGGGACAACCTTCCGAAGAGGGGCCTTTGAGGGTTCAGATGTTAGCAGTAGATGTCTCCTGCAGGTTTTTCATCTCTGGGCCCTGCAGTGCTGTTCCCAGCCCCACAATTAGGCATTGGTTGGGGATTGGGCATCACCCAGGGAAGACTGACAGCAGGTGAGTGGGCAGCTGGGGCAGATGGAAAGGGGAAGGTGACAAGGGAGCCTGTTGTCATGCAGATGTTCTCATGCAGAGGCTCAAAGGAGCAGAGGGAACAGGTCAGAACTAAAGCAACAGAAATTATTTGGTATAGGATTTGTTTTTGTTTGTTTTAGACTTAATGGAGAGAGTAGGGGTACACTGGGGGGCTTGGATTGTGACCGCCGAGGAAGGTTCTATCAGAGGAGAGTGAGGCTGTTCATTTCTTTACTCATTCCTCAAGCATGTCTGCTGGGCAGGTGCTAAGCCTCAGGGATGCAAAGAATAATGACTCTGATCCTAGGGAAGAGGCAGTCTGGAGAGAAAGACACGACTCAGAAACCCTCTGTGCCAGGGCCGTGTGAAATTTGCAGAGGTATGCGCAGAGGCATCTGGGGGAGCACGGGAAGGCCAGGATGTGCATCCCAGAGAAAGCAGATTTTTTCTTCGTTTTTACATGAGAGAGAGAAGAAATACACACTCCTGGTTAAAAGTTTACACTGTGCAGAAAGGTACAGACTAAAAGTAATTCACATTTTTTCACCCCTTTTTTTCCTGCCTTCATCCTAAGTTGTAGTAGCCATAAAATTAGAGGCTTGATGTATAATTATACTTTTTGCTTACTACATCGAAAGAAGGACAGAAGTATTACAATTTAAAATGTTTTATCCACTTTCCCTCATCCGCTATGTCAGTGAGTCACGGATCATACCCAGGGAAACACTGCCGATTTGCCTCTGAGTTTAGATGTGGGCAGATGACCCCCAACCCAGCAGATGAACCATTACAGCAGGAGACAACCAAGGCGAATGATGGTCCCCATGAACAGCTGCAGGGTAGTGGAGAAAGACAGCGGGTTAAGGCTCCAAAGGCCTGGCACTCCCACTTCCTGGCACTCCCACTTAGCTGGCAGCAATCTGCAATTCAGCCCCCTCTCCCAAGATCATCTTCTCATCTGTAACAAGGAACCAGCAATGTCTTCCCTAATGTGCTCTGCAGAGTTACTGTGCGAGTCACGTGGCACAATATGTGCTAAGGGCCTCTGAAAACTCTTGAATTGCCCCGAGTATATAAACAGTTGACACTCTGAAGTTTTGTTCTGCTTCTCTCTCTGCCGTGCACCCTAATGGATGGAGTGTGCCATCATGATGGTTGAGCGCATGCACCAAATTGTCAAATGACCTATGGCTGGATACTGACTCCACCGCTCACTCACTGTTTGACCTTGAGCAACCTGTTTAATCTCCCCAAATCTTGGTGCCCTCATCCGTAAAATGGGGACAGTGATAATCAGAGTTTGTAGGGTTGTTTTGAAAATTTGATGAATTGTCCAGGGAAATCGGGCCTCTCCCTGGGCAGGCGAGGGTTGAGAGAGGTCAGATCAGAAAAGGCAAAGCACTGCAATTGTATTTTGACAGAACAGATGGGAGCACATTTCCATAACCTCATCTTCTGTTGAGAACTGCCATTATGTGTATATGCAGGTGGGGAACGGCAGCCCCTCTCTCTGAAAGCTCAGAATTCCAAAGCTCTCCACCAAGACTCCCGGCAGAAGAGAGGAGGGAGCTGATTAAGAGATGGCTCAGACGAAGATGTTGTGCATGCTCTGTTGCAGCTTAGGCAGGGGCTGAGTCTACCATTGGCCTTGCTCCTGATGTGTTGGAATACACCCTGGGAGGGGCTGGGGTGCAGCTGGATGTCAGTGGAGGTGACAAGTGGCAGGTGTGTGTCCTCACACCAAGAGGATCTGGGCTCCATGAGTCCATCCACTCCAGCCCCGCCCCCCTGTTCTTCTTCGGTGGAACGGAAAGAGATGGATGAGGGGCTCTAAGAGACAATTGCGTACACTAGCCAGTGTGGAGCTAGCTCCCAGGAGAACACAGAGCAGGCTACTCATCCACCACGGAAATCAGCAGCTGTCCAGATGCTCAGGGCCCGAGTAGAAATAAAGAAATAAAAAAGGCACCTAGTAGAAATTGGGTCAGAAACCAAATGCCCTCTTATAAAAAGGGAATTGTACAGCTAACCATCTGTGATTTTTTTTCTTCTTCTGCTTCTTCTTCAGGAGTCTGATTGCTCTTTCTCTTCCTCCCTTACAGAAAATGAAGGAGTACCTGGAGGGCAGGAACCTCATCACCAAGCTACAAGCCAAGCACGACCTTCTCCAGAAAACCCTGGGAGAAAGTGAGTATTGGAATTCTGCTAGAGGTTTGGCAATGAGGGGAAGGCCAAGCCCCGACCTACATGGCTGAGCCTCCATCCTGAGCCCCATGGGCCTGATCTTGTTATATGAATGCATTTCTTTTCCTAGCCTGTTTGATGTGAAGCTCACCGCCCCAAATGACTGCTTGAGTAATGGGAGAAGGCCAATGCTTAATGAAGCGCTAATGTGCATCATTATTTGTTTAAATGGAGCGAGCCTGCTCTCCACCCTGTCCCCCATCTCTGCCGACTGGGATAAAGGAGCCATTGGATCCCTTACTCTCCAGACGCTTTGTTAAAACTCTCAGCTCCTCTGAGGCGGGACGTAGGTAGTAGCCAGCAGGCAGGGCCAGCGAGCCGAGATAGCAGCAGCTCTGAGGAGAGGCTTCTCAAAGGCAGGCCTGACCCACAGACTGCTGCTTCCTGTAGCATCAGGTTAGAGCATCGCTTTCTTTCTGTTTCGGAGGGTCCTGACGCTCAGTGGCAGCCCTCTCTGCCGCGGCCATGCTGAGGTCATGGTACTGAATGGCCTGTCTTGTCCATGAATCAGGGATGATTTTAACCAGACCCTGGAAAGTAGCAAAGCAGAGAACTGGACTGGCACTCTGGACTTTCTCTCCTCAGCTGTCAAACAGAAGGCGAAGGTTAAAAGAGAAGCTTCCCTGGGGTTTTGGGCACCCTGCCCGGGTCCTGCCTAGCTCTCAGCATCCTGTGATTAATGGGATTCCCAGGTTGGGGATGCCTCTGAATGCCTGGCCTCCCTCCCTGCCCTGCTCATCTCTTCACTCCAAGATGGGGCCAGGAGGCTACAGGCAGTATATGGTAACACTGGTGAAAGGCAAACCTGCAGAGAAGGCTTACATTTTAAAACAAACTCTTGAGCGCTTTTCAGACGAACTGCAGAGTGTAGAAAAGTATGGGGGTACTTGTTGGCTCATTGGCGTCAGGAACGAGAGCCACACTTTTCATATCAGAGCCTCCCACCCGCTCGTCCCGTCCCATGCTCTTCCTGCGCTGGACGGTTCCCCCAGATGCTGAATTCTTTTTATCTCTGATATCTTTGATCTTGTGATTGTAAAGGCATTTTCTTTTATGTGAAGAATGCCTGTTAGGTAACTTCTGTTCTCTTTCCTCCCTGCCACCCAAGAGACTCAGGCTGAACAGGTTTGGGCATTGAGAGCCCAGCTTTGCTTATAGAAAATCTTTACTCTTGGGTTATCAGATTGCTTCATAGGAAATCAGAGGAAAGAAAGCCCAGAACTATTTGAAGCAAGTTATAACCATGATTTTTTTTTTCTAAAATAATCTAAGCATAGCCCATAAGTGAGATGGGGAGCAGGGCCTTGGGAGTGTGTGTGTGTGTGTGTGTGTGTGTGTGTGTGTGTGAGAGAGAGAGAGAGAGTGTGAATGGGTTTGCACACACACAAACGTGTACCAGATTTGCTAGTGTGGAGGGGCAAAGGTTGGTGACCACTCATTAGTGCTGCAAATTGCCTTCATCTAAAGATGACAAGTTCTAGCAATAAGGAAAGAAATAGCTGCAGATCTTCCTGTGTGCAAGTCATCATGTCCCTGCCTCCTGAATGTATTTATCACCATAGTGCAAGAGCCCCTTATTCTTGCCACAGAGGGATAATTGATGTGTATGAATATTCCAGAATGGAAATGGGACAGATGTTGAAAATAATGGCTCAGAATAATATTTTTGCAGTGAAAGCTGAGCCTTTAGTCATGAGAGGCTGTTAGGGGAGGGGGAGGATGTTGCTCAGGATGAGCTGAAGTGTAATCAACAATTAGCAACCTTTAAAGGCAAGGAAAAAGCCCTGCCCTCCCCCGGTCCTTGGAGTTGTTTTTCCAGGAGCTTGGATGAGGCCTGTGGGGGATGCTCTCGTCCCCAGCTCAGCACCTGCTTGCGTTGCCCCTGGTTTATCTAATACAGACCACGCTTGGTTACCTTTGGATCCAAAGAAAACAAATAGATCACATCATGGCCCATGTACACATGCGCATGTATTTTTTTAAAAACATAAGAATTCTTAGGAACTTTAAGATTTTTCATTTTTTAAAACTGACTGTGACACAATAAACTTAATATTAGGGCCTGCTATTGGATTGAGAACCACAGCTTGATAGCAATTAAATCTCACTTCTCCCTCGTCACCTGAGCCCAACCTAAGAGAATTTCACAGGAATCTAAAACTAGAACATCCTATCTTCTGCCTCTTCCCCGCAAACAATTCTTGCTTCCTTTTTCCCCTGCCGCCCTTACCGTGTGTGTGTGTGTGTGTGTGTGTGTGTGTGTTTTCATTACTGTGGAGCAAACAAGCTCATCCCTCCCTCCCTCACCACACACACACACCCACATACACAGAAGAGAAGCTGGATTTCACCTCTGGGAAGGCTTCTGGTACTTTGTTCTCTAAAGCATGACCCGCCTTGCTATTGTTCCCCTACAGCCACCCCTGTTTTCCCTTTGGGAAGCAGGGTCGGCACACCTAAGCTTTAGGGACATATAGGTAGCCCTGGGAACGAGCATTAGAAACAGCACCTGCCCAGGAAGAGGCTCTGGGCGTTTCTCTTCTTTTTTGCCTGGAAGGCCAGTGGTGCTGTGATGCTAGCAGCTTTCTAGGGAAATGGGAGAGCATTTCAGATAACCCTTGGGAATAAGCCTTCCTCTCTCACCCCTTCTGCTTCCACATGAGCTTTTCGCCTTGTCTTTCCAACAGGTCAGCGGACAGATTGCAGTCTGGCCAGGTAGGTGTGGCCCGGGACAGCCCTGGGAAGGGATGAAGAGAGGCCTGTGGGGTAGAGCAGTCCCTGGCTGCGAAAGAGTCGAGGAGTTGAAGTGTGAAGGCCTTGGGTGACTGCAAAGGAGGGGCCTAGGGTGGGGGTTGCTTCCTTCCCTTTGCTCTGCCGAACCCATCTATCCTCAGATGGAAATGGGGTCTGCTGTGACTTGGGGAGAAAGCTGAGCAGAATGGGATGAAGGGAGTTATCATTTGCAGAAGTAATTTCAGAGACTCCCCAAAGCCATTAGGTTTGCGAGGAAAAGAAGTGTTCGACTCTGGAGGATCCTGGTAACCTACCCTTAGCTGCTAGACTTTAGCACGTGGTTTTGGGGAAGTCTGACCCAGAGAAGGAAGATCAGAAAATAGCATTTGATCTGAGATTTTCTGCATGGAAAGATGACAGCCCCTCATTAGGGACTGTTGCCGAATAATGAAATACTACATTGCACTGGCTTGGCAGACAACATTGGTAGAAATCCTTGCCTGATGTACAAGTATGCAGCCCTCCCAGTCTTTCCCCACCGTCCCCTCCCTCCCCGACCCCAGCCAAATATTTTCCCTCCCAGTCATGTAGCTGCTATGAGAACACTCGTGAGCTGGCAGAGAGCAAGGCATTCATCCAGCCAACAGTTCTCAGATGCCTAAAAATGTGCTGATTTAACTGGGGAAAGAGCTTTAATGGGCTGGACTCCTTGGAGACCCTGGGTTAGCCCATTATATCAACCACTTCTATCTGCCAACACACACACAATAATCATGAGGCCATTTACAATTATAGGCTCATTATTTAGAAATAGCTTCATTTGGCTTTCATCGTTTTGTCATTGTGGATTACAGTAAAGATCCCACTAATATACCAGTCTTGTTGACTGGAGGGAACCAGGATAATGGAATTCCGTGGCATATATATCTTCTTGGTGGTAGAGTCTTACTGTAAGTTCACCTGAAGTCCCATATCTGTGGAAGGCTCTGTGGGGGTGAAAAAAGCTAAGTTGAATTCCCTTATGCTGTGTGACCTTGGGCTGCTCTTTTCCCTCCTCCGAACTCCAGTTTCCTCATCTATAAGACAAGCAAGAGCATTCTACTAGATCCGAGGAGCTCTAGGATTCCAAAGAGGTTCCTCAGGAGCGGCCTGGTGGAAGGGGCAGAAGGAGCCTGGTAGCCAGGCTCTGGGCCTTCATGTCACCAAACGCGGGGCAGCGCTGCTCTCCTTGCTTGGGAGATTGTGTCTGAGTCCATGTCCCTTGGAGAAGAGGCGTCTGAGCTTGCAAGGCATTCACCTGAAGGACTGCCAAGGTTCCTTCCAGTCTGGCTGCTCTGTCCTCTAAACTCTAGGAAGATTGCTCCCGAAGGATTTCCAAGAGAAAGAAAGCTGTAGCTTCCTTTAGCGTTTCCTTGTGTCTCCTGCAAACAGAGCTGATCCTACTGTCTAACGCAGATACATTTTACTGCACAGTGAACCAGTTCCTTCCTGTTCTAGTTTTGAATGGTTGCAGATAGTAACTACAGAGACCTCTGTGCTCTGAAAGAGCTTTATTGGGCTTTATTCGGAAAGTAATTTTGCAAGTCTCTTAGCTGGTTCTGCGACTGAGCTGAATAATGCAACTTGCTTCATTAACTAACACACAGATTGTTTTTAATCCCATTTTCTCTTTTTTCTCCCTGGTGCCGGTTCGGTTCTCTGTGATTTGGCGGGGTCAACGGCAGGCGTAGCTCAACCGTGAGGAAGCAGGTAAGGGCCCAGCAAGAGCCAGGCTGGTCAGGTGTGATGATCACATCGCACGGACATTTATGGAACCCTACTGTGGGCAGGACAGACGCTTTCCTGACTTCCTGCCTGCGTTCGGGAGATACCATTCAGTCAGAGTACGTTTAATATTATATTGACTTCATTGATTGAGCTGGTTCAGCTGGAGTCTTTCTGACTTATTCCTCCCTCTCTAGTCGTGCACCCTCTTCCTTGCTGGAGGTTTGGTTTGACTTAGCAGATTGTGCCAGACCTGCCCATGGTGTCACTTCTCTAGGAAACCATGAAAGGGGCCTCACATTTTATACATAAGCTCCAAATGTGAGTAGCTCGCAGCAGCTAGTGACCTACACCAGACTGCTTTGGGTTTGAAGGTTTTTTTTTTTTTTCCTGGTGTTGTGGCCATCCTAGATGCATTTCTTAGACATGCTGAAAATGCGAGATAAATCTGACCTGAGAATGACTGGCAAATTGATGTTCAACTCTGTGCTTTTGTGCATGATCTTTAGTGTTGTATTAAAATCTGACGCTGGTCAGCTAGCTCTCCTTAACCATCTGAGGGCAGGATCTTAGAAGGCAGGGGCTGGGTAATGCACATTAATGGATAATCTAAATAGCACTTGTGCTTGTGTAAAAAAAAAAAAAAAAAAAATTCATTGAAGTATTTTTTGCAGTAGCAAATTTGACTTCCTCATCATACTTTATCGCAAATACTGAAATGATTTTGTGTCCCCTAAGCTCATACAAGCTTTGTAGCAGCAGTTAGCAGGGAGGAGGTGGAGAGAGCTCTAAAATGTCTTGTGTCTACTCAGGGGAAAACTGATGCAGGCTTTAAAAGATCATTTTGGGTAATTCACAGTGGCTGTAGGCACAGGGAGATAATCGAATGTAGAGGGCACATGGTTTCTGTTGTGTCAGCAGCCCCAGCAGGGTCTCCAGCCCACGCAACTGCGTCAGCTAGCTGGGCCATCCAGCTGGGATACTCGGATGACATAGCTCTCGCTTGTCCTAGCTTTGCTGTCACTATTTTTCCCCCCTTCTCTGCTTCGGATCTCATTATAGTGATATAATTATACATTTTTAACTTTGTAATTAAATATAATTAAATATAAATATAATAAGATATAAATACACATTTTTTTAATTTATAAAGATTTCATTGCATCTTTCCTTCCTCTGGTTCCTCTATTTCTTTCTTCTGCCCCTTCTCCCATAATTTCATTTACAACTAGAGAAGAATGGGGATGCCGGAGTGGCTCAGTTGGCTAAGCGTTTGACTCTTGGTTTCGGCTCAGGTCATGATCTCAGGGTCATGAGATCAAGCCCCATGTTGGGGTCCATTCTCAGCATGGAGTCTGCTTGAGATTCTCTCCCTTATCTTCTCTCCCTTCCCTGCTCGCACTCTCTCTCTCTCTCTCAAATAAGTAAATAAATAGATAAAATCTTAAAAAACAACAAAACAAAACTAGTGCCTCCCAGGGATAACCTATTGCATTTAAAATTAATAGGTTGGGGGGGGCGCGCCTGGGTGACTCAGTCAGTTGAGTGCCCGACTCTTGGTTTCAACTCAGGTCATGATCTCAGGGTTGTGGGATTGAGCCCTGCGTCCAGCTCCACGCTCAGCAGGGAGTCTGCTTGGGATTCTCTCTCCCTCTCCCTCTGCCCCTCCTCCCCACTTGCACACATGCTGGCCTGCACTCTGTCTCTCTTTCTCTAAAATAAATAAATAAATCTTCAAAAAAATAAAATTAATAGTTGGATATCTTATAAAGAGGGAGCCAACTTTTTACCCTTCAACACTAAGAATAGGGTTGAACTTAACATTTGTTCATTTCAGTTCCTGGGCTGAAACCGGGCCTCCTGCATCTAGTTGGAACAGAGGTACAAGGTGCGAGGGCCTCAGAGCCTGCACTGTGGCCGCAGACGTGCGGGAGAGCACAGTTTGGCGGGCAGTAGGCGGCCCTGGCTGGGCTCACTGTCAGAGGGGAGCAGCGCCCATCTGGTGTGCATTGTGCTACGTCTCTGCAGTCGCAGGCAGAGCATATGTGCCTGGTGCTAAATTTGCGTAAGAGCTCCAGGAGGCACCCAAAACCCCAATCAAATAAAGACCTTGTTTCTCATTCTGCTGCCCCAGTTTCTCTCCAGCAGCTCAGCCCCAATGGTGGATCAGTAAAAGAGTTTTTCTACGCTAGGCAGGCAGGTAAATAGTCATTTGGAAGATGAGTAGTCTTGTATTAGGATATAAACAATTGTTTGTTTTTTTATGGCAAGTCAGCCAAACAAGATGAAGAATCCGGTAGCTTTGGTTTTTGAGGGTCCCTAGTGGGTTCCGGTCATTTTTGACCCTAGTAAAGCCGAGGTTCAAACCACCCCAACCTTTTCTGCCTCAACTGCTTCCAGGTTTTCTCTGCTACCCTCAAGCCCAGCATTTTCTCTTTCCCATCACTTCTGTCTCTTCTTTGTTTGTCATCTTTCTCCATTCCTCTAAAGGTAGGTGCGCTCCCAAGGTTTGATGCCCTTTGGACTTTTCTCCATAGTCTTTCCCTTCTCACTTCATTCCCTTAGATGAACCTTTCTCTCCTTCCCCAAGTGTCCATCGTTTTGAGTCTTTGGATCGAATTTCGAACTGATTGGCTGGACATCAGTTTGACAGTTGAGATAGTGCCTCCTCCCCTGAGCATCAGTCTCCTCCCCTCTCCCCACCCCCCCCCATAGCACATCCCCTAACTTCTCTATTTCTCCTAATGGGGGGCCTCTATTTTTCACAGTCCCGAAGCCCCGAGTGTTATCTTTGACACCTCTTTCTTTCCCATCACCCACATCGAATCAGTCGTGTAGACTTGTATTTTCTCCCTTGGTAAAAACGGAAATCTAACAAATGTAACAGAGATTAGTACTCAGCAAAAATCCTAACTCTGTCACTCATGAAAAATTATGCCAAACAATAGCTTATTTAGGCACCATCTGGCCACCTTCCTGATTGTTTTCTCCTGCAGATCACAGGACCCCTGCTTTACTCTCTTTTCCAAGTTATGCCTGCTACCTTTCTCCCTCTGCTTTTGGTTTAAAGGTCCCGTAATCTAATCAAATGGAGATTTGGCCCAGTTGTCCTTAAAGGCCCCTTCCAACCCTACGGTTATACCACCAAAAATATTGCGAACTAAAGAATTAAACTGATACAGATTCTCACGTTGGAGAAGAGAAGGAGAGAGGAAGAAAGAGAGAGACAGACACTGAGTAAGAATACACACGGACACTACTCGGTCATCTGTATGCAAAAATCAGTGGCGAAGTGAGGGTCTTTGGGGCCCCCTAGGAGTGCATAGGCACATCCTGGGGAAATGAATTCAGTCAGAGCTCAGAAATATTAGGAGAGGGTTAGGCGGTAGGAGGGTCTGAGGCCTTCATGACATTGTCCAGTTTTTGCTCCCACGACACTCTGTCTTGGACTCCACTGGAGCAGTGTAGAGTAGGAAGATACTATTGTGCAGTAGGGCAGGTCTCTGGCCCACTCTTGTCTGCCACGGATTATCCCTCTGGGCTACTTTGATGCCCCACTGGTAACCATGAACGTGCAGGTTGATGTCTTGCTTTCTGCAACCCTGCATGCTTCCCTTTAACTGTTGTTGATACTCCATTTTCTGCAAGTCTAGGCAGCCCTTGGCAGTCCCATAATTTGTTGAAGCCAGTAACCCGTGAGCTTCACAACCTACCTCTCTCTGGGTCTTTAAATACAAATCTGGGGCCAGGAAACCTTTACAAACCCTCATATCACTAACCTCATTATCACTGCAACTACCCTTTGTAGATGAAAACTGTAATAACGGGGCACTGGGGTGGGACAGTCGGTTAAGCATCTGCCTTGGGCTCAGGTCATGATCCCAGGGTCCTGGGGTCGAGCCCCACATCGGGCTCCCTGCTCAGTGGGGAGTCTGCTTGTCCCTCTCCCTCTGCCCCTCTCCTCAAGTCGTGCTCACTTTCTATCTCAAAAAATAAATAAGATCTTTAGAAAAAAAAACTGCAATAACAATGTTTGTAAACATAAAAAGACTTCCAAAAAATGGAGATTTGTTTATTTATTTTTTTATATTTTATTTATTTTTAATGGTGGAGCCCAGTTTCTTCATTAGAGACCAAGATTCTTCCTCTAAGATCGCCCTGGGCTGCCTGGCAGAAGTCAGGGATGGCAGTAAGAGAGCAGACACTGGCTGCTACAGCTGGAAAGCTGGAGGAAGCAGATGCGTTTGGGGGTCACGACAATGAGCATTTGGGTCCCTGAGACCTTCCCGACCCCAGCGCTACCTTGGCACACTCACTCCTTCCTTTGGCGGCATCCCGCATTCCCAGTAAGCTTGGGAGCGAGAGGCCAGGCCACACTTCTTGCAGCCTGACTCCTTCATGAGATCCAGCTGCTTCCCTGATCATGGCCAAACCCCAGGGCCACAGCTGAAAATTTGAGGACGTAGGCAAACCTGTGCAAGGGGCAGAAGCCACAGGACCCATGCCGCTTGAGAACCAGTCTCTGTCCTGAGCTTCTTATTTTATTTATTTTTTTAAAGATTTTATTTTGGGGGGCACCTGGGTGGCTCAGTCAGTTAAGTGTCCTACTCTGGACTCTGGCTGGGCATGAAGCCTGCTTAAGATTCTCTCTCCCTCTCCCTTAAGAAGCAATAATAAAATAAAAAAATAAAGCTTTTATTTTTAAAGTAATCTCTACACCCAATGTGGGGCTCAAACCCACAACCCCAGGATCAAGAGTCACACTCTTCACCAACTGAACCAGCCAGGCGCCCCTGTCCTGAACTTCTACAGCCCTTTCTAGCTAGGTTTAGGGCCCTTTGTTTGATGCCTTTCTTCCCCATAGCTGAATTATTTTGTGTTTAGCTGCCTTATAAAGCCCTGCTGGTTTTTAGTAATGCTTGGTGTGCATACCGGGTAATGTTTGCTGAGCTCCTGGGATGCAGGCTGGGTATGCATACCTGGTAGTGTTTGCTGAGCTCCTGGGATATAGGCTGGGTGGCAGTGAGATGTGCAGTCTCAGAGGGAGACTGCCTGGGTTTGATCCCGGCCCTGCTACTTAGCGACTGTGTCACTAAAGCAGCTGTTTTCACCTTGCTAAGCCTTCATCTCCTCATTTGTCGAACGAGAATAACAGTGCACACCCCATTGGGCTGTTACCAGGACCGATCCATGGCCCACCACCTCTAGAAATTTCTCTGTAGCTGGTAAGCACCAATGTTCATGTGCCAGGAGGAGATGCTACTCTCCTCACCACCCATGCCCTTCCCGATTTGCAGACATCAAATTGAGGCCCAAAGAAGTTAAGTAAATGGCAGGATATATAGCAAAATGGCAGAGCAAAGATTGATATCTGGGAGGCCTGCTTCTTAGTTTAGTACCCATTAGTTTCCACTATTTCTAAGAATTGGCTTTTTTCTTTCTTACCTTTGATGCCAAGTAAGCCCCCTTTCTGATGCTCCCCTTGGTTCATTCGCTATCCTCAACTGATATTAATTGAGCACCTACCTTGTGAGAGTATCATGACCAGCTGGAGAGACAAAAATTGACAGGATCTGCCCTGTGGAGCATGAGCTATAGTGGTGGCAAGTGCAAACAAGATATTCCTACCCACACAATTAAGTCACAATCACGGTTATGAGAGCCAAGCTCAAGGTGCTGAGATCCTGTAGACAGGGGCCCTGATCTCATCTGGGGAATCTGGAAAAGCATTCCGAAGAAAATGATACTTGCACTGAGACCCTCAGGGGTGGGATTCCAGGGTGAGGAGAGCATTCTGGAAGCAGGAGCAGCTCATACAAAGCCATGGACAAAGAACTGATCTAAGGAATGGAAAGAAAGCCGATGTGGCTGAAACAGAGAGACTGGAGGAAGAGCAGGAGGAGATGAAGCTGGAGGCAAAGCAGGACCCTGGACATGTAGGGCTGTGTAAAGACACTAACGAGAAGTCTTTGAAAGAAGTTAGCCTAGAAAGTGAACGATGCGCTGTGCGCCCTTTCAAAAGATCATCCAGCCACTGTATGAAGGAAGGATAATGTGGTTTGGAGGGCAAGGATGGGAACTGAAGTACTGATGTACGGACCGGGGGGTAGCAGTAGAGATGGAGAGAAGTAAATGGATTTGAGAGGTATTTAGGAGGCCGACTTGACAGAACGTATTGATTGATTGATTGATTGATTTTGGGGTGGCCAAGGGTGGGAAGCTGATTTGGGATAAAAGGTGATCAGTTGCATTTAGGACATGCTGAATTTAAGGCATCCATGTGGCATTCCAAGTAGGCGGTTGTGTACGTGCTCCGGAGCTTGGAGGACAGACCGGATGCTTCTGTGAGGACCGGCCACTGATCCAGCCGAGACAAGTCCTGCCCGGTCTGGCCCATTTTCTCTGACTCTGGGCTATGTCTGTTTAAAGATTCTGATGTTCTGTTTCTCTTCGGCTTTTCAGGATTCCAGCCAGGCAATTCCTCTGGTGGTAGAAAGCTGTATCCGGTTTATCAGCAGACACGGTAAGCAGGATTACAGCCTTGCCCATATTTGTGCAAAGTGGGGAAGAACTTCCAGGGATTCTTTGTAGCATAAGAATAGAGATTGACTTTTCATCCTGACATTCTCAGAAACGGAATAAAAGTCTTATTTGTTCACGTAATGTTTGCTACCTCAGAATGGCCACACCTAGACACCTAGAGAAAGGCATCGTATGTTTTGACCCCAAAGGCCTCAGCCACTTACCACACTCCCTTTTCTAGCCCGACAGCGAGGTTTAAATTACAGCCGTGATGTGAGTAAGTACAGCTGGTATGATGTGACAGTAGTTTCGCCATTACTCACTGTCTTTGCACGTGTCGGAGTCTCCTGCCACACAGCCTGAGTCCTTATGTCACACTGGCTTTGTGCATTAGACTGTTTTGAGAACAACTCCTTTTGTGATGTTGCACTGATTCCTAATAACATTCAGTTTTTGTTCTGGTTTGGTCTCACTGGATACAACATCAGCTGGAGTGCACTGAGTAGTCGTTGGTCTTCATGTTGTAGCCCACATTTGAGAGTTCCAGGGGCTGGTTCCTCCTCAGCCTAAGTCAGATCACACTATCTGCTGCCTGGATGAAGCTGGATCTCATAAACTCCATGCCTCACCAGCTCCCCAGCTGCTTGGACAGAATCTAGGGATGGAGATGAATTGCCAGAGACTCAAGCTTCTAAGTGTAAGAACATTTAGAAAGCACAGATATCTGAGCAAGCACCATGAAGATTTCTAGGAACTGGACATCAGAAATTGTTTTTAGTTGCTGTCTTACCTAGTTATAGGAAAAGGGACAGAATGACCTTCTTGCAGTTAAAGAGGTATAGAGGTGATTGCTGGACTCAATGCAGAGGTAGACATTTGCTCTCCCTTCCTCCCAGTAGGCTGGAACATCACTTGGGTTCATTTTTGGAATAGTAATTATTTTAGCATGCTTACAACTTCTCTATTCTAATCAGCTACGATTTTTTCATCTTGTCCCTATTCACTTGAAATGGCAACGTTATATATATAAATAGTCAACAAATATTTATCAAGCCTCTGATCAATGCTGGGCACCATGCATTGTGAAATAGGAAAACAAAAACAGGGATCATACACTGTTCCTGTCTTTATTTGATTTAATGATGCAGTTGGGAGAAAATAAGCAATTGGAAAGCTAAATAAAAAGAGATAAGCAATAGCCATTCAGAATAGCAGTGTAAGAAATTTCACAAGATAGTAATGGTTAAAGATCAAGTAATTGGCAAAGATAAATCCAAAGTGAGTTCCGGAGAGGAAAAGTTACTTGTGTCTAAAGGACAATAGGAAGAAGAGAGTCTGGACTCCTGTTCTTTCAGCCGTGCATTCTATTCGGTCATCCACCAAATTTATAGAGAGAGATAGATTGCTCATTGTGTGCCAAGAAAAAGTTCCTGCCTTCGTGAACCTTGTATTCTACTGAAGGGCAGATAAGTAGATGATCAGCTGGTCAGTTAATAAATAAACACAGTAATATACAGTGTGTCTGATGATGGTGAGTGTCCTGAAGAAAAGCCAGGCAAAGAGCCGGAGAATGGAGGGGGGCGACTGTTCTAGGGGGGTTGTTTGGGGAAAGGCCCTAAGGTCACTTCGGAGGGTGACATGAGAGCAGAGTCCTGAAAGAAAGTGAGGAAGTGAGCCACGTGCTATCTGGGAAGAGTGTTTCAGAGAGAGGGAACATCAAATGCAGAGATCCTTGGCATAGGCAGGGGCCGGCTTGCAGGAGGCCTGGGTGGCCAGAGCGGAGAGGGGAGAGGAGAGGGGCAGCAGACCAAGCCAGAGGCCAGACTCTTAGGGCTTCCTCACCTAAGGGAGGTACTTAGACTTTATTCTGAGTGAGGTGGGAAGCTACTGGAGAATTCTGAACAGAGGGAGCTCTTTAAAAAGAGCTGCTGGATGGAGACAAGGCCATGGGAGGACGGAGGCGGCTGCAGCAGCCCAGAGAAGACATGACTGTGACCAGGCCCGGAGTGGAGATGTGGGGGAGCCGAGGAGGAACCGCTTCCGGATATGGTGGCTCGAATGTCCCCATCTCTGCCCCTGCACATGCACAGTGTATGTGGAGACATTCCTGTGGTGTGGCTCTGGGGAAACAGGTGTGCTCACATGTTGCTGGTGGTATTGCCAACGGGTACAACCCTTTCTTAGGGGTTGTAGGGATATCTAACAGAACTATGTATGCATTTATCTTCTGATCCAGCGGTCCTTGTAGCAATTTACTTGGAAGATGCACCTCCAACAATATAAAGATACATATGCAGGAGGTTATTTGTTGCAGCATCATTTGTAAAAAAATAAAAAGAACAACCTAAATACCCTCACACAGAAGAGTGGTTGGACCAACTATGGTATATCTGAATACTAGGCAGTTACAAAAAAGCAATGAGCACGATCTCCATGAAATTACACGGAGAGATTTCCAGAATATGTTATCAAGCAAAAGAAGCAAAGTGGGAAAGAATGCCTAGAGCATGCTACCTTTTATGTAGAAAGAAGAGGGTATAAGAATGCACGTGTGTCTTCTCACTTCGGCAAGGAGAAATACAGGAGGGGTGAATCCGGAAACTCATATTTAATTGTTCATCCACAGGAGATAGGTGCAAGACAGGGTAGAAAGGGTGGGGGCTGGTGGAAGTGGGAGGGAAGTGACATTTCTCTGAACATTGCTTTTTGTGTAATTGTGACGTTTAGAACTGCATTCGTGCTTCCCGTGTTTGAAGGATAAATGAACAGATAAATAAAACAAGGATGTGGGTAAATCCCCAAGTGGAATACAAACAGTAACAAATAAACCTAACTGCAGGACAAATGAATAACATCACCACACTGAGGAGGTGAGGAAGCAAGTGATCTAAGTAAATTTGAAAACAGTATCTTGGTACTGTACTGTAAATCTGAAGACAAAAAGAGCTATAAACAAATTTTTTATCACAAGGATGTGGGCTATCAATTGTGAAGCCATTTTATGCTTATTCCAGGACTGAACAAATAGATAAACGTATTGTTGATTTAAAGAAAGAAAAAAAAAACCCTCGTACATAGTAGTTGTTCAAAAAACATTTGTTCAGCTAAATTCAACTTTTTCCCCCAAATAAGGACTCAAGGGATTCCTGAACTCCCTATAAGTCAGGGCTAAAAATTTTTGTGCACATGCATTCAGTGGAGGTAGGTTCCATAACTCAGTTCCAAAAGGGTCTGTGACCCACCGACGGCTGCAGTGTGTCCATCCCTACTCTCTTCGTGTTACCTGGGAGGTAGGTATTATCGTTCCCATTGTAGAGATGAGAAAGCTGAGGCTCCTCTGTAAATGGTGGATCAGGGTGATCCAGGAAGACTTAAAGGAGAGGCATTCGGGGAATGACTGACTGAATCAGGTGGGGAGGACCCCACCTATCTTATGCAGAAGGGAGCCAAGTACCATGAGGCGGTATTGTAACAACCATATCAGGAATTCCGTAAGAGAGCACCTCTTGGCAACAGCCGAATCCAGTGCAGAGTGGAAGGTTTTGTGCCACTTCCAAGTAACTTACCCACGTCCAAGTGGTTTTTTTACTTTTATGGTAGCGTGCACGAAGAGTACATCAAACAGATAACGATGTGTCAGGTTAGTCATGTGGGGCCTTCCCTGCATTCTAATCAAAAGTCCCCTGCTTTTCCCCTTTACTTCTGGAACCCAACCATTTATCAGTGCTCCTACTCTCAGAGTCATTAGATTAGACACTCTACAGATTGTGTCTGCTGAGCAGGAACACATCGTGATCCTTCTAAAGTGCAGGTTCTCGAAGGGAAATGGGAGCCAGACTGAGGGGGTCTCGGTGTGTCTTAGACTATACTGCGTTTTTGACAAGTTCCAAGGGTACGTGACTGTTTCTGTCAGAACACTTGGCTGCTTGCGTTCTGTGTGTAAATGACATAATTTGGCTGTTACATCCCATTGGTAACTAATACGGTATTATCACATCGGTACTAATGGGGTTTTAACATTGCCTGCCATTCTCTGAGAAATATTCTGGAGATTCCCTTAGAGGAGCAGACAACTTAAGTCCTATTACAAGCCAGGTAATTAAATTCCCCCTGCTTGCTTCTTAATATTGCTTCAACTGGATTCAAGATTGTAGTCCTGGCCAGCGTGATTTCCCTTCAAAGGTCTAGCCAAGAGAACCCAGTCACCCCCTCACCGAGAGGATAACCAGAAAATGGTGGGCAGTTCTATTTTGTTTCCTTAAACAGAAATTTGTTTGAGATTTCCCTGATATGTCCAAGTTTTTGATGAATCACGCCATCACGGAGGAACATGGACAAGATGCCCCGAACGGAGACACGGGGGTCCTGAGAAAGGCTGGCAAGCCGGATGTGATTACAGATGCTAGTTCATTCTGACCCCCGGGACCAGCACTAACCGCATGCTCCCTGGATCTCCTACCACCTCTGCAGCTCCACGTGTGGGGCTGTGAGCCACACCCACGTTCAGACTAACAGGCGGGTTCCTGCCCTCTCTGCACTTTGCCTCTGGTAGGCCCCACAAGCCTGGTGTTGAGGAGTTAGTGTGTGATTGCAACCAGAAGGCCTCCTAGCCCTGGTTCTTGTCACCTCTATAACCTAAAGCTGCTCATCACTCATCACTTCCTTCAGCTGGAAAATGGGTGTGCTGGTGACTTCTCCCTTAGTGGCTATTGTGAGAACCAGTGGATTTATTTCTATGGAAGCATTTCTTAGCGGCAGTCACAGCACATGCATTATTTTTTTAGGATTGTACTCTAACAAAACCCAAGAGGACAAGGTTTTCACGCCCGTTACCGTGCCGCGCAACGTCCATGCACGTTTGGGAGGCAAGCCGCAGTCAAGAACCAGCGCCTGGCAGGGTATCTGGCCGTGGACTGTGATCACTTGCCTTTTCCCATCCTCTCTCTTTCCTAAGGATTCCAAACATTGTGCCCTGGAAGAGCCAAACAGTATTCCAATAGCCAAAGCAATCATTGTATCTCAGACCTTACGGAACTCCTCCAGTGGATCTAATGGCCAGCCTGCCAGACCCCCGCTTCCCGCTCCTGGCCCTGGGTGACCAGGTGCCGGGGGTCACTTCGTCGTTTTGCAGATGGGAACAGAGAGGCAAAGGCAGGGGAAGGAACCTGCTTCCTAGTCTCCCTCAGAATCAGGAACGGAGCTGGGTGTAGACCTCTTTCCCCTTAAGTCTCTGACTCAGCGCTTTCTTATGCCTCCTATCCATTCTGGTGACTTCTGCAGCATCCCTCCGTGTGCTTTCTCCTTCGGCCCGCGGAGGAGAGACGGGGGCTTCCGTGTGCACTGGCTGGAGGACACACACATTCAGCTAAGCTTGGAGCTGTGCTTGTGACTTTGTTTCTCCTTCGCTGTGATCACTTTTCCCTGTCTTTCCAGGACTACAGCATGAAGGAATTTTCCGGGTGTCGGGATCCCAGGTGGAAGTGAATGACATCAAAAACGCATTTGAGAGAGGTAAGGAAACAGGCTTGAAGATCAGACCAAATGTGTGCCAGCCTCCCGGGATATTGGCTGCACCCATTCCCCCCGTCCCCCCTGAGAGGTACCCAGAGGTTAGCAAGCGACCTCTTCAGCCCAATACCTGCTTCCTTGTAGCCAGTCCTCCCCAAGCCCTCCTCAGCCCCATTCACCCTGCCTCTCTCCTGCGGGTGATCTGCCGAAACCCAAGAAGTTAACTATGATATCTGGGCGGTTTATGACTTCATCCGGAACCCTTGGTGGCAGTTAATATCAAGGCTAATGCGCCTGTTCATCGTAGCCCATTTATTAGCTTGTGGGCTATTAAGGTAATGGGCAAGCTTTGGCAATTTCCATCACCGTAATGGATATATATAGTTTCAATTTGAGGTTGGTCCTGTCATTAAATCTAATTACATCTGATATGAAAGTTTCCATAGGGAGCCCCAGCGTGATTGTTCCCCTGTAAGTAGGTGTCCTTTGTTGCAAGCCGGGAACAGTGAGAGCCAGTCAGGAGGGAGAGCCTCCTTGGCCTCATTTTCCTCCCCCAGAGGCTCAGTCCCAGCCTGGCTTCATGATTCTTGTGAGAGGGCCAGTTGCAGTGTCCCATCCCGGCCCATAGGGAATGTCCCTGAGCTGGTCGGACAGAAGTGAATTTATCCTATTGGACCCTTGTGCCCTACTCACGGCCGCCATGCTGGGCAGAGAGCTGATGGACTCTGATGAGGACTCGGACAGGTCACCCCTTCCCCACCATTCCTGCTTCGTCCTGTGTGTTTTTACCTCTCTCACTCTCTCTTTCCTTTTTGGGGGCGCTGCTTATCCTCAGGAGAGGACCCCCTGGCTGGGGACCAGAATGACCATGACATGGACTCCATTGCTGGCGTCCTGAAGCTTTACTTCCGGGGGCTGGAACATCCTCTCTTCCCCAAGGACATCTTCCATGACCTGATGGCCTGCGTCAGTAAGTACATCCTGGCCTCAGACTGGCTTCTGGGCAGGACACCTTGTCATGACAGATAAGAAATGTCCACGGGGCCTTTTTTTCCCATAAGCTTTTCAATAATATTTTTCTTTTTCCTTTTCTTCAGTGAAGTTTTTCCTCCTCATCCTCAGTCCTTCACCCCTGGTGGGGAGGGAAGAAAGATGACTTTTCAGTAAGAGTCTAGGACCACAAGTCAGAACTCCTGGGTTTTTCTTTCTGATTGGCCTTAAACTCCTTGCTTTGCTGAGCTTTATTTTTCTTCAGTAAAATATATTTCTATTCATATGTAAGACACAGTCCTTTTCAGTTATTGGAAGCTCATACATTAGTGCCTGTGCTTTTTATGTTATAAAGGGGAAATATTTTCTGCTTGTTGCTTATTTTTATAATTAAGGTTAGAATGAATCTTTTTTTAAAAGATTGATTTTAAGTGGGGGGGGAGGGGGAGAGGGAGAGGGAGAGACAGGATCTTAAGCAGGCTCCACACCCAGCATGGAGCCCACTGCAGGGCTCAATCCCATGACCCTGAGATCATGATCTGAGCCAAAATCAAGAGTCAGACACTGAGCCAGCTGAGCCAGCCAGGTGCCTCTGCTTGTTGCTTTAAACGTGGTGTGGCTTACCTCCTAGATGTGTTAGTATGTGTTCTTTTAGGAATAAAAGCCCTCTGAACATTTAAATGTAGCAATATGATGTTTTCCTAGGAAGAGATATAGTCTCTACTTTATCCTTCTAGGTTCCTGCCTCTTACTTTCAGATTTGGGACTTGAAAAGCTATTCTTACCCATTTAGTTTAGCTTATTAATACCAGGGTCATCCTGGAAGTAGACTCCACTAGAATGTTGGCTCCAGAGGCTGGAGAAGGCAGTGCCTTTGAAATGGGAGAAGAGTCTTCTTCCTGGAAGCACCAGGGTCTTCAAGGCCCCTAAGTCTCCGGTTGGACTCATTGTATGCCCTGAACATTGTCCCTCTCTGCTCCAGGGCATTCAGTAAGCTCTCTTATTTTATGACCCACTATTTGTGGAAGCCTAGTGGAAATCAGTTCTGTGCCTATTAAATTTAGGCCCCCCTCCTGTCTTCACGTCTTGTTCTAGGACTGAGCTTAGGTAGGTGTCTTCAGTGGACTGGGGCTACCAAGACAGTTCAAGATACCTTGGCTGCCCAGTTCTCCCCTTGAGATGTGCTCCTAACCCACTACTTTCCATTTCTTTTGCACAGAAAGGCACTCATAGAAAATGATAGTATCCACATGGCACACTAGTGGGGAGGCCGGCCATGGTGGAGGTCTGTGATTGGTCTGTCCACAGCACAAGAGACAGGAAACCTCGCGTCTTCTCCCCAGATATCACAACTTACACAGGATCTACCATCTCTTGCCTCTGGCTACGTTCTGCCCAGCCCCACTGCAGATAAGAGGGAGGGGGAAAGATAAGTCAGACCTGTCCAGAGGATGAGGAGATGCATGTGTAGAGCGAGCAGGACAGGAGCTACACAGCCTCTCCCCCCCTCACACATGGATCCTCCAAGGCTGGGTGTCGAGCCTGCAGTCATAGCAGGTTTTGGGACCATTCCTTGTCTGGGGTTGTTTTAATAAGAGCGTGGTGGGTGCTTGGAGAACATCCCCAACCCCTTCTGAGCCCAAGGAGCATGTTCCTTCAGTCGGGCATCAGGAAGCGTCTGCAGCCGAGCGGGTGCCCTGCGGCAGCAGTCCCGCCCCGAGGAGCCACAGGGACACGGTACACCAGTGTCTGTGCAGCACTTGCTGGCAGTCAGGGCCCTTACATCATTACTCCTTGGGATCTCAGTTGTGATGGATGATAACGCATGGCTTTCTTCTTTCAGCAATGGACAACCTGCAGGAGAGAGCTCTGCACATCCGGAAAGTTCTCCTGGTCCTGCCCAAAACCACTCTGATTATCATGAGATACCTCTTTGCCTTCCTCAATCAGTGAGTAGACTTCCCAGTGAGCAATGGATCAGGCCTGGGCTTCGGCCCCTGGAAGCTTACCCGTAGAGCTGTGTCAGTTCATCGAGCCCCATGAATATCTGTGGAGCGGCGACAGTGTGCGGGGCACAGTTACAGGCTGTGAGAATACATTGCGAAACAAGAGACAAAAGCCCTGATACCGTTTAACTCCCATTCCAGGGTAGGAGACAGACAGGTAACAGATATGTTGGGCGGGAATAAGTGCTTAGGTGAAGACTAAAGAAGTGTAAGTTAAGAGCCAGAGTGCGGGGGGCCCGAATGGGGGCAGGGGTGGAAGAGGGAGAGCTGCTAGAGAGGGGTGGTCAGCAAAGGCCTCTCTGAGGAGACGCAGCGGCCTAAATGGAGTGACAGAAGGAGCCACAAGGGATGTTCACAGCCATCAAGCCCCGAGAGTCATGGTAATAATGGATTTGGATTTGGGAAGCCACTGGAAGCTTTTAAGCAGAAGAGTGATAAGATCTGATCTATATGTATTCTTGGAAGCCCGCCGACAGCTTTGAGGAGAAGTTATCGGGGGCTGTGAAGAGAAGCAGGGACACCATGCAGAGGTTACTGTGAGGTCTCAGCCACGGGCACTGGGGGCTTAGGGTGGTGGGGGGCGGGTCATGAGGGAGGGCAGTGAGGTGGGGTCGGGTTTGGGGTCCATTTAGAGCATAGCATTGACAGGACATCCTGATGGGGAGGATGTAGAGTGTGAGGAAAGAGAGACATTCAAAATGTTTGGCATGAGCAACAGGGAACCAGTGAGTCGATAATGGAGTTGGGGAAGATGAGATGTAGAGGACGGAATCAAGACAAGGCACCAACTCGGCCATGTTAATTTGAGGTGCCCGTTAGGCCTCCAAGGGGAGATTCTAAATGGGCAGTGGGACATAGGAATCTGATGCTTGGGAGAAACCCAGAGTAGAGATACGAGTCTGGAGTCACCATGTACTGACTGATGTTTTCGCTGGTCACCCAGGGAGTGAGGGCAGCTAGAAGAGAGGTCTGAGGGCCAGAGGGGCCCTGGGCTTGGATGGGGCATGGCTTCCTGTCCAAGCAGTGTGTCCTTGCTGAGGGCGGGCTTTGAGTCCCACGGGGCAGCGAGGCAACAAGCAAGGACATGCGGTGCTTGCCCCGTGGGCCCCTCTGTCTTCATGTTGCTTCCTCTGACACGGCTCCCTCAACAACCTAAAGCAAAGGCTATAAATGGGCAACGGGAGGGCCAGATAAGGCGCATAAATGTATTTCTTTTCAGTCTGCTGTGTCTTGAAAACATTGAAACATTTAAATATTAAGGGATTTTACTTAAAAATACCTAGATTTCTAGCTTCTCTTGAAAACACCGTTGGATCTGGCAGTAATGGACGCAAATCCTGCAAGGAGGCAGTTCTGTGTGGAGTAAGGGCTTCTGCCAGGTGAGGCAGGCCCCCCCGACACTTCCTATACCGAGGCTGAATCCGGTTGCCATTTGTCATCACTCTTGCTTCATGGGGTTTCCTCTCGTGGAGAAACATTTGTCTAGATCCATGAATCTATCAGAAGAGAAAACAAAAATTAGACCAAGGAGTGAGGGTCTTTTAGCACAAATTTCTTCGTCTTCGTGGTCAGTTTGGACTTTGCTTCAAAGGAAAACAAACTTGGTGGCCATCTCATGAGCTTCAGCTTGCTTACAAGTTCACAGTCAGCCTAGCTCTCTAGGCATCTAGGTTAGCAGCTCTGCCGGAGACCTTGCTGGGGCCCCACACCATCCTTCAGCCTTCCTGCCGGCCATGCAGAGCAATGGAGGGTCCTGGCTCTGCAGCCTGCCTCCTTCATGTGGCTGTGTCTGCACCTTCCGTTAGCCGAGCCCTGACTCGGCACCACCACTGCCCGAGTTCAGAACCCCTCATGACTCACAGAGGGTGTTCACATGCTGTGTATTTTAGGCTGACAGAAACGGAAACTCTGTACTGACTCTTGAGCCGGTTACAGCCCCTTTCTAGCATCTACTGCATTAACTACCTATTGCTGTGTAACAAATGACCCTAAAACCTAGCAACTTAAAACAAAAAGCATTAATTCTTATGGCACAGGTTCTGTGGGTCAGGAATCCCCAGTGTAGGTGCAGTGTCGGTGGGGGGCCTCTGGCTCTAGCTCTCTTGAGGTTGCAGTGAGGGTGTTGGGGGCAGGGCTGTAGTCTCTCCTAATAGCTCCACTAGGGGAGGGTCCGCTTTCGAAGCTCACCTCTGTGGTGTTGGCAGGATTCAGTTACTCGCAGGTTGTTGGACTGAGGACCTTCCTCGCTGGCTAACTGTTGGCCAGAGGCCTCTGTCAGTTCTTCACCATGTGGGTCTCCCCATAGAGCTATTCACAACATGGCAACTGGCTCCCTCCAAGCATGTGAGTGAGAGAAGACCCAAGACAGAAAGCTCAGGCACTGGTAACCTAATCTCAGAAGCGACATCCCATGCCTTCTGCCGTTTTCCATTCACTAGAAAGGAGTCACTAAATCTAGCCCACACTCAAATGAGAAAATTACACCAAGGTGTGAAAACCAGTAGGCAGGGACCATGGGGTTCATTTTAGAGGCTGCTTACCACAGCCTGTGTGCTACCCAGCGACTTTTTGTCCCCCAACAAAGTGTCGGTAGCTCCCGCTCATGGCAGCTGACTCTGTTCTTTGCCTTTGATCCTGCTTTCTTCAGATGTTAAACAATATAGTCTAATAAGCTCTTGCTAGTCAGTGAGGTCCACAGACCATCATCTGGGAGATGGTTAGAAATACAGAATCTTAGCCCCTCCCCCTTCAAAGACCTATGAATCCGAATCTGTATTTTAACAAGGTCCCCTGGTCAGTCACATGCTCATGAAAGTCCGAGAAGCACTGCTCTAGGTCCTCAAACGCTGCTTCGCCATCTGAATGAGAGAGTGAACCGGTGGTGCTTTTCTCCCGATTAAGGTGCTCCGATGTCCCCAGAAAAGCTGACTCTTCCTCGAAATCTCACCAATCTCCAGGTGCCTCCTCGTTTGGAAAGATTGTGTCTGGGCGGTTCTGACTTTCGCAAGGAGCGTTTTGGCTTCTACACGCAGATGGACGAGGAGACCTGTGGTCGGGTTGTCTTGGAGAGCCACAGCTGCTCATGTGCTTATTTGTTCCCTTATTTAACACATATTTATTAAGCATCTCCTGTGGGCCAGGCCCTGCTGTAGGTGCTGGCCATCTGCGAATTCACCAGACAGTCCAGGTGTCCCATGGAGTCCCTTTGGAGTTTATGTTCTGTTGGAAGAAGACAGACCAAACTAACGAGGATGCATATCCCGTGTCCGAGGAAAAACGCTCTAGAGAAAAATCAAGCAGGTCAGGGAACCGGGGAGTGCCAGGGATCAGGGCGAGAGTTTGCTCTTTAAGATACAGTGGTCAGCAGACACTTCACTGAGCAGGGGACCGTGCACTGTGAGGTAGGAGGAGGACCTAGAGAGAATGGCGTCCCAGAAGCCACACACAGACGTGTTTGGAAGAGGGAGTGATACCAGAGGTAAAGGGGGTGACAGGCCAGCCGAGAAAAGGACTCAGGATTGTGTTAGCCGCAGGGAGAGCACTGGTGACCCTGAGGAGTGTTGTCCTGATGGAGTGGAAGGGGCCAGACCCTGATGGCGTCCGTTTAGGAGAGAAGGGGAGCCGCTGATGGCTAAACAACGTGTGGTAGTTCCATGCGGCTGGCGGGGGTGGGGGGTCGTGTTCAGCCGTGAAAATGAAAGAGGTGCGGAGCCATGCTACAGCGTGGATGCACCCGGAAAACATCCTGCTGGAGGAAAGAAGCCAGTCACAGAAGACCACATGGTGTAGGAGTCCATTTATTTGCAGTGTCTGGAACAGGCTCCTGAAGGAGCCGTGTAGCTAGGGGCTGGGGGGAGGGGAGGATGCGGGGGTGGGGGGTGTGATTGCTAATGGACATGGGGTTTCCTTCCGGGTGATGAAAATGTCCTGGAACTAGACGGTGGTGATGGTTGCACAACATTGTGAATATGCTAAATGGCGCTGAATTGTACACTTCAAAATGGTGAAAATGGTCAGTTTTATGGTATGTAGATTTTACCACAATAAAGAGTGGGGAGGGGGCAAGAGAGAAGGTACATGCGTCTGCTCAGGCTGCTGTAGCAAAGTACCACAGAGTAGGTGACTTCAACAACAGAAATTCATTTTCTTGTGGTTCGGGAGTCTAGACGTCCAAGATTAAGGTGCCGGCAGGGTCGGTTTCTGGTGAGGAGTCTCTTTTTGGCTTGTAGATGGCCATCTTCCCTCTGCGTCCTCCCGCTGTACACACGCAGGGAGAGCTCTGGGGTCTCTTCCTCTTCCTATAAGGACAGTAGTCCTATCGGATTCGGCCCTCACCCTCACCCGTACGATCTCATTTAACCTTAATTATCTCCTTAAAGGTCCTTTCTCCAAATACAGTCACATGGGAGGGGGGTGGGTAGGGCATCAACATAGGAATTTGGGGAGGGGGGACACAGTTCAGTCCATAACAGAAGGGCTGGAGATGAATCGGAGAATCAGAAACGTCAGGGACAGACAACGCCCGAATAGTTTTATTGTGAAGAGGAGGAGAGAAATGGGACAGTAATATGGTACAGATATGGGGTTAAGAGGGAATTCTTTTCCAGGGGGCCAGTATTACTGCATGTTTGTATGCTGGTGGGGACCACGACCCAGTGGAGAGGCAACACTAAAGACCCAAGGGCAATTGCTGGATGGATATCCTTGCTGGAGAGAGGATGGAGTTCACTGCCAGGGAAGGAAGGCAGAACATGAGGGCACAGAGGCAAGTCCCTTATTAGATGCGGGGAGCACGAGAAAGCCGACCCATGTTGTTATAGGCGAGACAGTGACAAGAGGAGTGATGGGATGCCTTTGAAGAACCACCAGAAAAAATCAGCCAGAATTACGTTGGACTTCTTAATCTCTTAGAGAGCCTTTTGGGGAAGTCGAGGAAGGCTGTTAAATCATGGATTTAGAGAGGGAAATTGTAGTGTCTCCCATTGGAAAAGCTTTTAAAGGCCTGATGGATTCTCAGCCCCACGATTTGCCTGGGGCCAAGGTGAAGAATCCAATTTCCCTTCATCCCTTCCAAACCTAAAATCGACCCTGATGCGTTAATACCTTACCCATAGTCTGTTGGTTGTTGCCAAATCAAACCTCTGGGGCCTGTGAAGCTGAAGGTTTTTAAGTGAAATGTCATGTATTTAAAACAGTCTGTCCGAAGCATTGTATTCTCCCTGAGGAGTTAAGGTTTCTATTTGGGGATCTAGAGTCCTCAGCTTGATGATGTCTGTCAGGAGAAGAAGGTGGCTTGACTTCTATAAATCAGTTGCTGGCAAGTGTTGACAGACCTGTTTCCCTTTCCCTGACTAGATTCGAGGGTCCCGTACAGAGAAGCAATTCAGATATTATAATTACAGAAAATATGGATTGAGCACCACCTGTGTGCCAGGCACAGTGCTCAGTGCATTGCATATAATACTTCATTCAAGCTTTATAGCAGCCCCATGAAGGAGGTACATTTTTTTTACAAGGAAGAGACTTTGAAACCAGAATACTCCCCTGGAACTGGTACATGATGGGGCCAGGACTCAAAACCAGGTCTAATTGACTCTAAAATTCTTGAGATGTTTTGTTTTTCTTTTTCAATTTAATCAGAGAAACAAATGTGCATCATTAAAAGGTAAAAAGTCCAGAAAAGTGCATGATAAAAAACAAGTTTCCCACCTCAATCCTGATTTTCTCATTCCTCCCCAAAGCCTGTGTTCCCAATCACCTTACTGAACCTTGTTAAGACACCCAAAAGATGAGTTTGAATCAATTAGAAGAATTCACTAATATTATGGATAGAAGCTCTAGAAATATAGTACAGTTCTTAGAAGAGATGGCATTATGCAAGTCAACACCAAAAAAATTTTAAAGAGGGAACTGCCACACCAGTGTTTTCCATTTTAGGTATTTTTTTAAAAATCAAAATCCAGTATTTGAGTTCTTAGACTAGGCACAGCCTTCAGGACCTTCATGGATTATTAGCACCATTATATTGTATATGAGATGACATGCATCTGTATGTGTACATGTATGAATTTTTCGGGGAGAGAATCTCTAGTTTTTGTCAAATTCTTGAAGGAGGTTGTGACCCCCAAATAGTTAAGAACCACGGCTTTAACCCCTCAACCTACATGTTCCCATTGTAGATTGGAAGAGAGAGAGGACCTTGGTTTATTTTTTTTTTTAAGATTTTATTTATTTATTTGAGAGAGAGAGAATGAGAGACAGAGAGCACGAGAGGGAAGAGGGTCAGAGGGAGAAGCAGACTCCCTGCCGAGCAGGGAGCCCGATGTGGGACTCGATCCCGCCACTCCAGGATCATGACCTGAGCTGAAGGCAGTTGCTTAACCAACTGAGCCACCCAGGCGCCCGACCTTGGTTTATATTTTAATGGGAGTAAGAAATGGAACTGGCCCATGAGACCCCAGTCTACAAAGATGTGTCCTCCTCAAGCCCCTGGTCATTGTAGCCACCTATGAATCAAACAGCCCTTTCCTTAGGAGACTTGGCAAGGTTGCTCATCTCTCACAGCCCTTCGAGTGGGACTCTCAGGGCTAGACTTTGTTTCCCTCTGACGACCAGGCTTCCCAGAAATGACTGGTTTTGTTCCATGTTACCAAATGTCATCAGCTCGCACTGAAGAAACAGGGCCTTTCTCCTCCTTGTCCCTGTTGAGGTTTCCAAGGTAATTGCCTCTCTTGTCTCCAGTGTTTGTTTGACCAAGAAGTAGACTTGGAAACTTCTCCCAGTCTTTTCTCAAAGAAAAGTACATGATACATGTACTTGATGGGGCCAGGACTCAAAACCAGGTCTAATTGACTCTTAAAATTCTTGAGATGTTTTGTTTTTCTTTTTCGATTTAATCAAAGAGACAAATGTGCATCATTAAAAGGTAAAATCTCTCTTAACTAGGATCCAGGGGAGGATTATAAAATTCAAACTTTAAGACCTTCTGTGAAGCAGTCCAGCCACTGAGATCCATAACCTCACCCATTGCTGGCCTCCCTGCATTTGACTAGGTCCTCAAGAAGAGTGATTCTCAACCGTACAGTTTCTCCCCGTGATAGTGGTTCACATCCATTGTACTGTGTCTCCAGGGTGGACGGGGGACGTGTGCAAACCTGCAGTAGAGGAGAGAACCACTGGGTTAGAGAGAGACCAGCTTGGTAATTTGAGTCTGGGTGCGGGATACACTAGAAATGAACTCTGTCCAGCCCTGAAGAATACCTACTCAGATGAACACAGCTGAGTCTCAGGCCTCTGGTTCAGCATCAGAGGGTGTTGGTTTCTCCTCAGATCTGTCACAGTCAGGTGCTGGGAACCGCCTGCTGATGCCCATATTGGGGGCAGAACTCCTTAGCAGAGCTCCCAGCTCTCCAACCTGGGGCTGGGGGCTGGGGGTGTACATCCAGAGCTGGCCGAGCCTTCAGCCTGGACAAACAGACCAGTGGGGGCTAATGAGGCCCAGTGGCTCACTGAAGGGCTTGGGTCCTTGGCCAAGGTTGGAGGCGTGGCCAGAGCAGCTGCTGCCTAAAAAAGGGGGAGCTCCCAGGATAAATACCCAATAGCAAAGTCCAGACTGCATCCAGAGGAAGCCTGAGCAGAAACTGAGCAGCATGCTGACCTTTTCCCGAATAAATCTTGATTGTAATAATAGAGGATATTATGAAAATGAAAAACAATTACACTAGCTGTTCCAGAAATTCACTCGCTTGATGGAATACAGAAGGTAATCGGTTGGCAATTTTTTTTTAGTAAGTCTGGAGCTTGGAATGGAATATCCCTAGTAATTTGATTATTTTGCTCTGCAAGAAGGTACACGGTGCAGAATGCCTGTGTCTTCTGACCGTATTGTCCTGAGGGCAGCCTGAGGGCCTCCATCTGCTCTGGCAGCTTGGTGGGTTGGTGTGGGGGAGCTGTCTCAGCTCTGTGGAGTGGGATGTTCTTGAAGCAGGGGAGATTCGGTGGAGAAGGTGTGGAGCTGGGCTGGTGATGGGGCGGCAGGTCGGATTTGAACGAGGAACTGGTGAGAGAGGAGGGGTGAGACCTGCGAGGAGGTGGCTCCTGAATGACCGTCCTGGTGGTCATTGTCTTCTCCCCCCCAGACTTTCTAGAAGGGCTCCGATGCCCAGAAAAGCAGGTGGCAATTTGTGGAACTTCTGCTCTTGCTCTTGGCAGTGCCTCCCATGATTGTGTTTTCTGGGCATTCATGCGAGTGCTTTCCAGCTTGCCCCCTTCCCCTCTCCTCTAGTTTATCACAGTTCAGTGAAGAGAACATGATGGACCCCTACAACCTTGCCATCTGCTTTGGGCCCTCACTGATGTCAGTGCCTGAGGGCCACGACCAGGTGTCCTGCCAAGCCCACGTGAACGAGCTGATCAAAACCACCATCATCCAGCATGAGAACATCTTCCCAACCCCCAGGGAGCTGGAGGGCCCCGTCTACAGCAGAGGAGGAAGCACGGAGGACTACTGGTAGGGGGCTCTGGGCTGGAGGTGGGGGGGGCGCGGCGGGGGTTGTTTCTGGTGCACACAGGGTGTGGGGGCCAGATGGCCAAGCGAGACCCAAGGGAGAGAGAGACCCAGATGCTCTTAGCCTCCCACTCCCGGGCACTTCAAGCTGCCAGGACCTGGGGGTGGGGCAGGCAGGGCCCTGCCTCGACCCGACCTATGGAGTAAGTGCCACTTCGTGCCACCTCCCTGTTGTTTTAGGAGTTCTTAGTGGTGAGGAAGCATTCTGGAAAATAATGACAACAATAATAGGAATGTTAATAATCTCCAGGAAAGGAAAATTTGTAAAGTTGCATTTAGAACAGCTGTTCATCAATCAACAGTGTCTCTCAGGCTCCTGCTCTGGGCTGTGCACTGTGAGAGACACAGTCCTGGGTCCCAGAAAGAAGATTTTCTTTCTTACTGTGAAGAGTTTAGATATGAGGCATAATTCCCTCACTGTGAGTTTGTACAATGATAATTTAGAATGATCACAGAAATTTGTGGAGGGAAAAAGGGGTAGGCTCCGTTTTTTGGCAGGTTAGGCATACTTCCACCCGGAAGCGAGATTAAATTCTGTGGGGCAAGGATTTTCATGACCTAGCCTGGGAACAGAGATGAAAAGGAATCCCTAGGGCACATCGTTACTAGACCCTTCTGTTAGACAATTAACAAATTGCTATTTCCATGTTACAGATAACAGTCACTGTAACCTTGAGAGGCCAGTGACAATCTTTCAGGCCACTTACTGGTGGGGGTTCCAACCTTGACGTGCGTGCCTTAGTACAGGATGCCATCCAGGACCCCACACTAGACCCCAGGGTGCCACTTACAGTGTCATTTTCCCATCAAACACAGAAGCAACTACTTCTCTCTTTTACTCCCTAACGTCCCTTACCTCCTTCCCCACCCCCTTCATCTTCCCCATCGAATGGCGCTTCAGCCTGGGCTGAAAGCATAAGCCAGCCCAAATCGGATTCCATCTGAACTCAACATCTGGAACCAATTCAGCAGCCCCATTACTATCCACCGAGGTAGGGGGGACAGGGGAGGTTGTTTACTTAATTAGAGGCCAGTGGATCCATGCTTCTCCCTGATCACCACAGAAGGAGCCTCCTGCCTGACAAGTGAAGAAAGTGATATTCATGTGTCTATGAATATAAAAATACCACTGACACCCCTGGGTTTGGTCTTGTCCACTGTCCCTTGGATGCCAGCATCTGGGTCCGAGCTGGAGAAGCCTACAGTTGCTAGCTCGGAGAGGAAGCTTTTTGTCACTGACAGATGGTTGGTGGGGACAGGGCAGGTTGTTCAGGTCTCAGCCTACGAGCTGATGAGCTCCAGGGAGCTGTCCTTGTGCATGTGACTTGGAGGGTTGGTTTCTCTCTCACATGAGGGTTGAAAAGCTGTGGAAAGAGTGTTCCCAGTGCCTGCTTTACCTTCCTTCCAGAGTGTACCCTCACTTCTCAAATATCTCTGGACCAGTCCCAGGACACAGTGCCCTCCACAGCCCTGGTCCCCCAGTCCCAGCCCAGGGGAGCAGTCAGTCACCACAGGGATGGCTCACAGGGGGCACCTTTTGCCAGTTCTCTCCAGAGCAACCCCCCCTGCCCCCACCCCCACTGTTTGCTGTGCTTCCGACATTTATTAGCAGCCTCTGGAAAACGCACAAGACTAGTTAGGGAATGTTACTACTGCTGACTGGGTGGGAGGCCAGAAGCACCCGAGGAGCAAGAGGAGGTGACCCTGGGGAAGAAGGACCAGCTGACCACTGGACCCACACCCACTCAGAAGCCTCCCAGCCTCTCTTCTTCTTTGGGAGGGGAAAGAAGTGCCAGCGAAGCGAGCTAAGATGGATGAAGGAGTTGGGCGGGGGGTGGCAGAAGGGGTGCTAGAGCTTGAGAATCCTGGAGAATGGCCAGGAGACCAGAAGAGCCAGGGAGAGGGGGCTCCTGGCCACTTGGCCTCCCCACAGCTGTGAAGAGGAGAGACCAGGCCCACGTCGCCACGCGTTCCAAGCCCTGCAGCTAGAACCTGGTTCCCTAGGACTGCCCGCTGTTTGGCCTGCGGGGCCTCCTCAGACTGCAGGTGTCGGCGGCCTTGCCGTGTGGCCGACGTGTGGGTGTGGAAGTGATCGTAGAATTCTAGTGCTCCCAGGGGCCTTAAAAATGCATCATCTCACCTTTATGTTAGAGCAGTGGTTTTCCAAGTGGAGTCTTGGACCAACAACACCTATGTTACGTAGGGCTGGCTGGGAATACAGACATTCCAGCTCTCCCTGGCCCTCGAGACTTGGAAACTCTAGGAGTGAGGCAATCCACTTTTAACAAGCCGTCCAGGACTCTCTGACGTTGGAGAATCGCTGCCTTCCTGGATGGCCACATAACTACACTTGCAACTCTGGAGGAAACTGAGCCTTTGCCCTGTGTGCCCCTGGGGCCCTGACGGTTTCTAGAGTGTCATGAAACTCATCAGAGTTTTAGGCCCAGTAAAAGTGAAAAATTGTGCCCACATTTTTTGGTAAGGAGGAATCCCTATTGGTGTTCTCCCAGAAAGCTCTCTGGGTTCTGGAGAGCCTCCTTGGAACTGAATTCTGAACTGGTCCCCTGGCCTTTGAGGAACTTTCTGGAGTGAAAGACCTGTCCCAAGGGGAGGGAGAGGCTATAGGCTCAAAGGTAGGAACCGTGAGGCCAGGTGGTGGTTAGAGGAGCTGGTAATGCTTCCATAGAATTGCCTGGAAAGGCTCCCTTGTTACTACCAACTGCCAGAGGAAGAAACTTTAGCAATGGACAGGGGTTTAGAACTTCCTGGTGCCCATCCCCATCTACTCTGATGTCCATAAGCCAGGAGACCAGGAGTAGAAACAACTTTCCTAGTAACTAGACATAAGCAAAATGAGAAAGAAGGAAAGGAAGACCAGTTACTAACCACTCCATCGTGTCTCAGTGACTCTTCATGCGACGCTGTGATGTTATACAGACCACTAGCCTCAATTCTTCAGTAGGTAGCTGAGGCTTAAAGAGATACAGTCCCTTGTCCAGGGTCACACAGCTCCCAAGTGTCAGAGCTGGTTTTCAGGTCCAGTTGTGTCCCAGGCAAAAGCCTAGTGTTTTCTTCCATGTGCTCCCTCAGGGGCTAGTTCACCTAGAGAATCAGCCCTTGAGTTGAGTTGTTCTGTATTTTCAAAAAGACTTATTTTGTAAATTCGAATGGGGCTCCCTTTGTCTCAGGATATTCTAAGTCCCAGGCAGTCTCAAACAGTTTTTGCAGCAGGGACTGGACTGGAGAACCCTGGGAGGCTTGTGTTTCATCATCACTGTGGTGAGCAATCAGGATGTAGAGAGTGTGAGGCAGCTTCCGTGCCCTTGCTCCAGGGAAGCTTCGTAAAGAAGACAAGAATTTGGTCAGCGAGGGCTGAGGTCCCCGTGACTCTTCTATTGCAGTGACAGCCCTCATGGAGAGACTACCTCGGCTGAGGACTCAACCCAGGACGTGACCACAGAGCACCACACGAGCGATGATGGTACGGGGCCCTGCTTCCGGGGCAGTGGGGCCACGGGGGCCAGGGGGTGAAGGGGAAGGAAGGGATTATATAGCGTGCGCTCCCCGTGCTCCTTCCTGCTAAGCAGCCCCCCGAAGACAGGCAGGGGGCTCTCCTGTCTCTCGTTTTCATTCCTTCCCTTTCTTGGAGAGACAGCCCACCCTCTCAACTAGAACTGTCTCTGCGTTAAACCGGAGATGGAGAGCTAGACCTTTCAGAGCCTTTAAAGCTTCTCGCTCCAACTCCCTGCCCGTCGCCTGCATGATGTTGGTCCCCTGTCACAGTCTAGACTCCTGCCAGGTAGCTGGAGACCAAAATCAAGAAGAGCTCATTTGAAAAAACTGTTAGCCTGGGGAACAGAAAAGCTGGGTGCCAAGAACCCAACAGAAGCAAGCCAGAGGGGAGTGGGACTCAGGATGCAGAAACCACACACTTTCACGCCTGCCGACTGGAAGGATTGACCCTTTCCAAAGGACAGACATGCGAGCGCTGTGCAGCCTGCGGGTGTGCTTCGAGAGGTGGAAGGCACGGCTGTTGCCGTGGGCCCCTGGGCAGCGCCCAGGATTTATTAGGGTCTGTCCGGCCAGCACGCTTCCCGTCCTTCCAACAGTTCCGCACCTCCATTTCTGGACCACTTCGACTCTTGGAAGACTCAGCAGCTGACAAGGGGCCTCAGAATTTTCTGGGCATGAGAACGAACTGGCACAGTCTGCGGAGCTTTCCCTGCTCTCCGCCTTGCTGTGAATTCTGCAATCCTAGGCCAGCTTTTTAGAGGAGAAAAAAAAAATTAGGGCTGCTTATTTGGTTGCTGAAGTCAGATGGATCAATACGATAATCTGCCCCATTACAGGAGGGGAGTAGGTGAAGTAGGGAAATTTGTCCCTGCTAGAAGCTTTGTAGGTCTTATCTCTTAATCCTAGTGAAATAGAGCCACTATTTTTATAGCTGAGAAAACAGAGGCCAGAGAAGTCAAGTGATATGCCCAAGGCTGTACATAACTGTACAGAACTGAGATTTGGGATATTTAGATAGGCCTTCTCTGGTGTGCCTCCTGTAGTGAAATCTCCAGCCCTGCCTGTTCCGGGACAGGCCCACCAATCATGCTGCCTGGGCCCGGTCTTGCCTGTAGGCAGCCTTCCTGTCCACCACTCGGAATATCCGACTTTAACCTCGGGTTCCAGGTTTCTGGGAGCTTTCTTTCTTGCTCTCTGACCTCCCCCCTGCTGCTCAGCGCAGATAACGGTAATGATGACGGTAGGAATACTGGCTAATGTCTACGCAGCGCTTACTATAGGCCGGGCGTTGTTCTAAGTGCTTTTACAAATTGCTATTTGTTCACTCCTCCTAACGAGTTCATGAAAGAGGCACTATTGTTGTCGTTTTTTTTTTTGTTTTTTTTTTTACAGAGGAGATGGAAGCTCACACAAAAATAAAAAGTCATTGCATTTGTAAACCCCTTTTAATTTTCAAATTACTTTTGTGTACATTTTCCCATGTATTATCCACAAAATATATTTCCATATTTTGCTCCTTGGAAAGTAGATTGGGTGAGTTATTTTCTCCTTATGGAGACTAAAAGCTCATGGTCTACGAGAGGGAATGGATAGTATAAATAAAATTTGTTGTATTGAAAGTACAATATGATAAATGTTCTGCAATTAATGGAGTTATTTTATGATCAGAAAAGAAATGATAGGATCAGGAAAGAAACTTACAAATACGGCAAGGCAAGGTCCCCGATAGTGTTTGGCGCAAAGAGCTGCGGATGCACCAGAGACGTTCCCCTTTGCCCTGAGTGGGTCTCAGCCTGTTGGGCAGCGTGATGCGCTCTCCCAGGAGGCAGACTGCGCCCAAGCCTGACAAGACTCCCACTGTGCATGTGTGGTTCGTTTTTGCACAGAAAACTGCTGAGAGAATAAAGTATTCTTTGTTTTGTTTTGCTTTTTAATGATGATGTTTCAGTTGTGACTCAGTGTGCTTCCTCAGGAAGACAAGAGAGAAAGGGATTCCCGGTGGGGGGACCAAAGGCAGGAAAGGGCGCACAAGTGCTTTTAGGGTGATGGCACAGTCCACACAGGAATCCCTGCCGATGTCATCCCTCCATCCTCCATGGCTTATTTCTCACACCAGGTTATCTTCCCACCAGTGTAAGTTCAGCTAATTGGGCTTTTCCTCCCAGTTTCCTGAGCCTCTGGTCCCAACAGCATGTGTTTCCTTCTCTCCTGCCCCTCTCAGAGTGTGAGCCCATCGAGGCCATTGCCAAGTTTGACTACGTGGGCCGGACAGCCCGAGAGCTGTCCTTCAAGAAGGGGGCATCCCTGCTGCTTTACCAGCGGGCTTCCGATGACTGGTGGGAAGGCCGGCACAATGGCATCGACGGACTCATCCCCCATCAGTACATCGTGGTCCAAGACACGTACGTTGGGTCCCCTGCAACTCTAGGCGTACCTGGCTGCACTGTGGGAGTGAGACTTTATTTCTGGCTCCAAAGGAGGGTGAGGGAGACCAACCCCCAGGGGGCGCCAACACCACCCCTGAAGGACCCTACCCAGACTCCGTGGAGGATTGTTTTTTCTCCTCCCCCTTTTCTTTTTAAGATTTTATTTATTTATTTGAGAGAGGGAGAGAGAGAAACAGCATGACAGGGGAGAGGGTCAGAGGGAGAAGCAGGCTCCCCAGTGAGCCGGGAGCCCAATGTGGGACTCGATCCCAGGACTCTGGGATCATGACCTGAGCTGAAGGCAGTCGCCCAACCAACTGAGCCACCCAGGTACCCCGGGGAATTGTTTTTTCATCTCTTCCCCCTGCAAATCGCTCCCCACCCACCCACCACCCCCCTTGTCATTTTGGAAACTTGCCAGCACTCCTGCTCATCTACACTTAAACCTGATGAGTAATAATGAGGGGTTATTGTTTGACCACTTACATTTCCATTCTGGAAAGCTCAGGGTGGGAAAACATTTTTACGTCTTTTCTTTCTTTTTTTTTTTCTAAAAACAACTGTGCTCATCCCAACCAGTTGGGCCGCCATTGGCGCTTTTCCACTTGCAAATGAAAATGATGCCTTGCTTTTCTAGGAGAAATCTATCTTAAGCGGCCTGGTGGAAAGAGCCACCAGGAAACGAGGTTGACATAGGGAAAGACAGGGAAAGGAGGGGAGAGGGCGTCGGGGAGCAAAGGGAGCGTGAACTGGGCCCAGAGAGACTTCATCAGCTGGGCTGTTGGTTGGCTCCCGCTCTTCGAAGTGAAGTCTCCTGGGCAGGAGGGCTCCCCCCCGCCCCACCCCCCTGGCCCACTCGAGCCTGCCTCCCTGCCCCTTTGCCCTGCCTCTGCCCCCGACTCCCTGCCCTTGGATACGATGCTGTCAGTGTTTTTAGTCCTTCCCTTAATATTATTTTTTAAAGGTTGATATCCTGAGTGAGTCTGCACCCTCCCAGCCTCTCCCCGGCTCGTTCTGCAGGGAGATCCTCCCTCTGTTGATAACATCGCAAACCCGGTGGCCATCTGTGCGTGGACAGGACCCTCCCAAATTTAGCATTATGACTTCACTCCGGGACTGAGAGAAGAGGAATTGTGGGGGAGAAGGGGCTTTCTTTGTCATCAGTAGCCAGAGGGGCCGGGAGAGCAGTGGAATGACCTGGGACCGGCTTGGACGCTCTAAGCGGGGCTTGATGCTCGACGACCGAGTGTGGCGGTGTCCTGCCTCGATGCCGGCCTCTCCAGAGCCAGCGCAGAGCTGCCCGTCCTTGCCCGCCAGTGCCCGGGACCTCAGCAGATAAACCGCACCCTGGACTGGCCGCCTCCTTCTCCAGGAGGTGGCCCTGGCACAGCTGCCCCAGGAAAGCAGCGTGGGGTCGAAGGCAGATGCCTCGAATCCAGGTGTCCCCTAGCTCAGCTTTCTGGCGGCGGCCGAGGATCCCGCGGAAGGCAGCGGGATTATTTATTTTTATTTAAACGACCCTCCAAAGGCCCTTAGCTTTCCTTGCCTCTGCTCGCAGAGCTAGCCCAGCCAGGTGTCCCCGCTGCCTCGGAGCTGTTGCAGGGGGTCGCGTGTGTGTCGGGGGGCCATCTTGCCGATTTAACGCTGCTTTTTGTGTTGTTGTTGTTTTCCCCCCTCCTCCCTGCCTGCCTGCCCCTTCTCCCCCAGCGAGGACGGTGTCGTGGAGAGGTCCAGCCCCAAGTCTGAGATTGAGGTCATTTCTGAGCCACCTGAAGAAAAGGTGACAGCCAGAGCGGGGGCCAGCTGTCCCAGTGGGGGTCATGTAGCCGATATTTATCTTGCAAACATCAACAAGTAAGCTCTGCTTTTCATTTTCTGCTCCCCCAGTGCCTTGCGACACCCAGCCTCACCCTCCGGCCTCACCCCCCTCTCCATGCCTGTGCCGCACCCCCTGCCAGTCCTAACACTGCATGTGCTCACCGCTGCTGCAGGGCGGACAGGGCTGAGGAAGCTTCCACACGCCCGGCCAGCAGGTCCCAGGCTCCTGCTGTGGAAGGGTGCCCCACCCTGGGCTTGGGCAGTGTCTGTCGGCCCCTGGCTGACTACTTAAACTTCACCAAAGCTTTGGTCCCTTTATGCAACCTGGTTTTGTACTGTTTCTCAGAGGTGCCTTCTCTTTTCCAATTCTTACCCGAATAATAGTCTTTGATGTCTTCCTGGCCCTTCCTTGTCCGTCCAAAGAGCCAACGTCGTGTGCGTCTTCCACTAGGCTCACGTGACCCCAGAGGGGTTTATTTGGATACGATGTGTCTGTTTCCCGCCCTGGCCGGCATTCGCTCCGTCAAGGAGAGGAGACCACTGTGCCCGCCCCCTGCCCCCAACAAGGAAAGCTTTGTCCCGAGCTCTTTAATCATTGCCTAACCCCCAGCTCCCCTCTGCCCTTTCATACCAGTAGAAATCATTGTCCGTGTTTTCCCTGTTGCTTTAGCCCTGTGTCATCGCCCCCTGTTAGTCCCTTTGCAGATTCCCATTCCTGTCCGGCAGGCTCTTAACTCTGGCCCCAGCTTTCATTGTGGCTGTGAGCAGCATCCCAGGGTTCTAACTCCACCCACACCCGATCTGGCCGGCTAGAGGGATTCCACGCCTGTGTGATGCGGCCTCCCCTAGAGACATTCAGGTTATTGGAGAACTAATCTCATCTCAAGGGGCCAGACACCAAGTCCCCAAGCCTACAGACCTCTTTTCCGCCAGATCCTGAAACTTGGCCCAGTGCCAACGGGATGACAAGCCCCAGGGCGTTCCTGATGAATATGGATTGCAGATGATGTACAGTTTTTATTCCCCTCTGGCTTTGGAGGAATGAAATGATTTGCACATTGAAAACCTGTTAACCGTAGCCTCTGGACACTGAAACTGGAAGGAGAATAAAAGATGCTTGTTGTTTTTAAACTGCACCAGGTCGCCCAGATCTCTTGGCTTTCTTCCAACCAGACGGTAGCAGGGGGAGTGGTTGGGGCACGTGGCTCTTTTCCATCCTTCACCCTCAAGTTAGCAAAGTCGCTGATTCAGCTCACTTAGCGTAGGTATAATTTAAGTCAGACCAGTAAAAAAAGAACGAGGATTTTATTTCCCTCCAGCCTAGTGCCCTGCTGGGAGGGCGAGCTAGTAAAAAGTAACTGTGGACTAATCACATTTTCTTCTTTATTTACAAGTCTATGTTAATTATAATCCTATAATCATAAGGTTGTAAGCCTCTAATTAACCCGGAAACCAAGGCGGGGTTGGTGGAGGGAGAGTTCAATAATTAGTTAGGTACATGTTTCTAAGCCATCATGTATTTGGTGCCATTTGTACCAAGAAATTGTACAGGATAATAGCTGAAATAGTCAAAAGATGAACACCAGGTGGAAAGTCAAAGGCGGCTCCCTTGAGCTCCTTACTTGGTGATGTCAGGGCGGGGTTCTCAGAGGACAAGGTCTCCTCGGACGCCAGCTAGTCGGTGGGCGAGTGGCAGCCCCTGGGGCACATGTTGCCCCGAGGAGTGACTGCCCTTCCAGCCTCCCTGCCTGCCCCACACGTCCGTCACTCCTTCCTGGGGCCCCGGGTTCTCTCGCACCCCTGGACCTTTGCATCTGCTGCCTCCCCCAGCCCCCAGTCAGCTCCTCCTCTCCCTTCAAGACATAGCCTGAAGATTGACCTCTTTGGGGAAGCCTTTCTGCCACCCCAACGTCCTCAGGGCTGAGTTAGGTGCCCTCGTTCTGTACTCCCACAGCAGTTTTGAGTCTCTCTCAGGACTCAGGCTGCACTTGGATAACCCACCAAGCTGAGCATCTTGAAACCAGGAACTCTGCCTTCCTCTCTTCACGTCCCCGGGCCCTGGCCAGGGACTTGGCCCACACCAGCCGCTCCACAATCTGCCTCCTCAGCGGTTTGAGCTTTGTGAGTCAGCCATCCTCAAGTGGAAAAAGGAAATCAGCAACGAGTTATTTGGGTGTGGCATTCAATTTAATTTCACACATTTAGTGAGGGCTCACTGTTGTGCCAAGCGTCCGTGCTGGTTATTCAGAGATGAAGAAGACAGTGCCCGGCCTCGGCACTCAGTCCGGCCGAGTAAATGCCATATAGACAGGTAACTAAAAAGCAGCGCCATCGAAAGCTCTGAAGGAACAAAAGAGGGAGTGATTGCTTCTGCCTGCCCTTGGACTCGGGGTACTGGGGAAGAGTCATTTCAGCTGGGCCTTATAAGACTCCGAGAACATCCTTCTTCTGCTCAAGAATGGCTGACACCCACGGTTAGATGGCCTGAGCAGGCAGCTTCAGAGAGTGTGTGCCGGGTTCCACACCAAGCCCCGATGGAGAAGACCTGACCGAGTGAATGGGACCAGGACTGGCTTAGGACCCTGGCTCTACCACATAGCCTAGCTCTCTGTCTTCAGGTCCTACCCCTTCCCTTCCTCCACCTCAGCTCCGGCCTCGGCCTTTGTCGTCCTTAGTAGTTTCTAGATCAGAGCTGCCCAGCTGCCATCCCAAGCCAGAAATTGTATTGCTTCTTAGATTAGGTCCTTGAGAATCTGATTCCAAGGAAAAAAATGAAATTATTCAGCAATAGGCAACACCCATGCTACTAGGACTCTGCCAAGCCGTCTCGTAGGAGAGTCTCAGTGGGCTGAAGGAAGTTGGCTCAGAGCCAGGGTTCAGCCCAGTGCTGGGTGACTTAGGGTCATGTAGATGTCTTTCCACCCTAAGAAAATGCACAAACTTGGCCCTGGACCTGCAGGATTGCAGCCTCTTGAAAAATACTCTGTCCCATGTCTGCACAAGAGGGAACAACGGCCTCTTGCCAGAGCCCAAAATGATTACAGTCCCGTAGCTGGACTAAGAAACATGCTAGAATTTGGGAAGATCAGCTCTCCTCTTGCCTTCTTGGTGATGGTGAGAATTTTTCTCCTACCTGGGCCTTTAGGTTTCTGTTCAAAGCAGGTAATGGAGGGGGCCTTTCTGCGAATCTGTCTCCCGTTAGAAACTTTCACTTAATCAGACATTTTTCCTGGCAGCACCTTACATCTCGAGAACTCAAAGCCCACAACCACCAAGTAAGTATCCGTTTCTCCTTTGCCCAGGTTGGGGGTGGCAGGGGAACAGAGACACAGAGAAAGCAAGGGAAGGTGAGGCCAAGGAGAGAAGCTGTGTGTCCCTCTCCTTCCAGAAACCCCTGGGTGCCAACACCCACCCCTCTCTCACTCGCCCCAGCTTCCTTAGGGCCAGGGCTCCCTGATCACGCTGCCCTTTCTCTTTGTGATTGAAGGCAAAGGAAGCGACCAGAATCTGGGAGCATCCGGAAGACATTTCGGAGCGACAACCATGGGCTGAGCAGTTCCCTGACTGACTCGGTCTCCCCAGGGGTGGGGGCTAGCTGCCGCCCATCTTCCCAGCCCATCATGAGCCAGAGTCTCCCCAAGGAAGGGCCAGATAAGTGTTCCATCAGTGGGCATGGGAGCCTCAACTCCATCAGCCGCCACTCATCCCTGAAGAATCGGCTGGACAGCCCACAGATCCGGAAGACGGTGACAGCAGGAAGGTCAAAGAGCTTCAATAACCATCGGCCTGTGGACCCTGAGGTCATTGCACAGGTAAGGGGGGCCTTCTGGACACCCAGCGAGCGCGTCTACATTTGTCACTACTGCGTAGCACAGCCCGCGTTAATTACAACGGGCCTTGAAACCACCGAAGTTTGTGCATCACATACCGAGTCAGAGGCTGCTGGACATCTGGACCGAGAAGGCAGCTTTCTAAGCAATTCTCCAATCCCACTCTCCCCAAGAAGAATTCAAAGACAGAATAAAAGAATTCAGACTTCTGGCTCGTGTACAGGCTATTTGCAAGGGGCTTATACTTTTTAAAGCGAATAGTTAATCTTTTGATAGAGTCCGTTCTGCCCAAGTTTCGGGTTTTGAGAGCCTGGTCGGCTTTCGTGAAGCCGTCTGAGTGTTGAGGCACAGATGGAGTCCTGGCCATTTTTTTCTGTCACCGTGCCCATGCCCCTCTCCCGTTCCCTGAGGCTAATCTCTGGTCCCTAATGGGAGGTGGGTGATCCATCAACAATCCGCTCCGGGTTTCACGGCCCCAAAATACTCTGCTGCAGGGGGTCCAGGCACCAGCAGGGTTTCCAGCCCGCGTCTCCAGATGCAGGTGGCCATGAGCTCCCTGGTTATGGGGTCTTCCTTCCGTGTATGCACCACACTGACAAGTCTCTGTTTTCCGTGAACTACTAGCGATCCAGCCCCATCTCTAAAAATCCGACTTCCGGGGCCACTCCAGGCAGTTCACTCAGACGCCTCTCCCAGCTCTCTAATTTTCGTTAGACCAGGTAGGAGCTAAGGGCTCCCCCTTGCCCTCTTATGTTTCAGCTGAGTTGAGATTCTCCTCGCCCCATCTTCCAGGGGGCAGTAGAGGCTGTGTGTGGTCTGTATTGGCTTAATTGTGATGCTCTACTTAGGAAAGGTGTACCTGGCGAGCACAGTATTAAGCTGCGGGCCTGAGATGTCTTGCTTTGCTCGCCGTCTACTTCGGTACCTCTCCTGAAGCTCTTGGCTGCAATCTGCCTTGCACCGTGGGACTCCTCCCAGCTCCCTCCTGAGGCAGGAGGGATACATTGCCGGTACAGACCCTGGCTACAGAGCAGGACTGAGGAGGGAGATGATGGAGTTCTTCCTGAGCATTTGTAAGGTTTGAGAACATCATAGGGATGAGTGAAAATCACCGTCCACAGAAAGCATAGATCACCCTGTGAGGGCCAAGAAGCCTGAAGCAGGGCCTTTGCTTGGAACATGGAGTCTTTCCACGTGAGCCTGATTCCAAGGGAGGAAGCCTGTGGTGGTTTGGGGGTGCCAGACACAAGTGTGTGGAGGGGTGGGGAGGGAGCTGAGAGGTCTCCCTGAGGGGCAGCTGGCTGTGGGCAAAGGGTCTTTGGCTCTGCTATTTCCTGAGAGCTGGGTTGTTCCACTGTGACTCGCAGGAGGCGATTCACCTGTGTGGCTGGCTCCCCCTCCTGGTCGCTCTTCGGTCCCCTCTCATGGTGACGGGTGGAGGGAAATGGCTTCCTCAGGTTGGGCACTCTGGTGGGGTGGGGTGGGGTGGAGTGGGCTGGGGGAGGTGTCCTGATGAATCTCAGGGCCAGGGTTCTGGAACCTTTCCTCAGCCCTTGACCCTTCTTGACCCTTCTTGACCTTTGGCTTTGAAGTCCAAGAAAACAAAGATCATACTTCGTCTCTACCACTTAGTAAGAAATCGTTTATTATGTACAATTTCAAGCATACACAAAAGTAGAGAGAATTGGATAATAAGTACCATGTACTCGTGACCAAACTCCTGGCCATTCTTAATTCAGTGACCTTTCCCTTCCCACTGGATTATATGTCATTTCACCCAGAAATATTTCAGTGCCTATCTCTAAAGCCTGAGGACTCTATTTAAAATAACATCTCAGTCACTCTTTTCTAAAGGAGAAAAAAAAAATCTCCTGAAAATGAGATTTTTTTTTCCCCTTCCCCACATTCTGAACATTCATATGTTTAAGGATTTGGGCCAAGTAAAATAATCTGGACATCTCCCTGCAGTTGGTTTCTTCGTGATTTGGCCTATGCTGTTGAAATAGGATCCTTGGGGACTTCTCCCTACATCTGCCTCACCTCCTCCTTTTTCCTGTTTTGCAGGATATTGAGGCAACTATGAACTCTGCCCTGAACGAGCTGCGTGAGCTAGAGCGGCAGAGCAGCGTCAAGCACACCCCTGATGTGGTTCTGGACACCTTGGAGCCCCTCAAAACTTCCCCAGTGGTGGCCCCCACATCGGAGCCCTCCAGCCCCCTGCACACCCAGCTCCTCAAGGACCCCGAGCCCGCCTTCCAACGCAGTGCCAGTACTGCTGGGGACATCGCCTGCGCCTTCCGGCCCGTCAAGTCTGTGAAGATGGCTGCCCCCGTCAAGCCGCCGGCCACACGACCCAAGCCCACTGTCTTCCCCAAAACAAATGCCACTAGCCCTGGTGTCAACTCATCATCTTCCCCACAGTCCACTGACAAGTCTTGTACTGTCTGAGGGATATAATTTAATTGTTCTAGACAAGGGGACTGGAGGGACTGACTGTTATTAAAAATCTTCCTATTTAACTAGCTTGGGGACTTCAGTTGAAAATTAGATTCTAAGTTGTTCTTGCCGGAATTAGCCTTCCCATCACCCAAAACCTTGAGAATGAAGCCCTCATTATCGCCCTGCCTTGCCCTTCCCGCTGCCCTCCGCTTCTCCCTGTCGTCGTAATCCAGCCCGCTGCAGTACATACTGTTCTTAGGTTAGCCAGAGATAGATTTTTCCATTATCAAGTCACTGTGAAATCTGGCATGGCGAGTCAGGAAGACACAGGCTCACGTCTCCGTCCCCTCAGACACAGGGGATGCCTGACCAGATGGTTGGCTACTGACAGCCAGCTCTCAGTGGCATCTTGTTTTGGGTACTGACTATAGAGAACCATATATAGTCCATTCTTCGTTTTACACACACACACACACACGCACGCACGCACACAGGTTTTTTCTAGTCTCTGGCATGTGTAGCCTCTCCTGGTCCCAGACCAGTCTCTTTGTAAGTCATTGTGGCAGTTCACACAAGAGCCACCAGGGGCCTCTGTTTCCATTACAAATCTTGTTCTGTCTGGGCCAGAGAACCTAGCCTTTGAAATCTCTCCATCATAAAAAATTGAGCAGGATGGAACTCAATCCTGTAATCTGTTTGGGGTTGGGGGCTTTCTCTCTGTCTTCTCTCTATTGGTGTGAATTGGTCATTGGTGTTTGCTTTTGCTCTCCTCCATCCTCTAGGAATACAACCCAGTCTTTTTATAGAACTTCGAAAGTTTTTCTAAATGTATAGACATTTCTCGGGTTCCTGTCTTTGTCTCTGATGGACCATTTTCCATTTAAGACATTTTCCTGTATAAGACAGTTTTATAGCTGGTTCCATTTAGGATAAAGAGTCTTAAGAGAGTTTTATTGTGTTTGTGGCAGGTTTGGAAAAGGTGAGAAATGGGTCCTTCTTCCTCCCACTTTTTTGGGGCACTTACGACAATATTCATTATTCTGTTCAAAAATTAAATTCAGCTTTGCTAACCCCCAAAGTATTCCTGAATGAAAATGTAACCTATGTTCACCCCTCTAGTTTGGGTTATTCTCTATAAGATCTCTCCTCAGGGACCAACAGGGGCTTGGAGAGCCCTGGTTAGATTAAAGGGAGACATTACTCCTTAAAACCTGTTTTCTTTTATCCAAATAAGGACAACTAAGAGAGCTTCGGCCCCACAGGCTCTATAAAGTCTTCCCGAGGCTGGAATCTAACAAAAAATTGGATGATGAATATTTTGGCCTTTTTTTCTGGTTCTTCTCCCCAAAAAGCAGAAATGATGCCCTTGCCTACTTTAATCCGGTCTCTAAACCTGGTGCCCCTGGTCCTGGCTTCCCTGGCTTCATGCTACCGTGGCAGTAGCAGGGCTGGGGACAGTCACACTCCCATTTCATGAGTGTCAGACAGCTACATGAGTTAAAGCTGAATCTCGTTCCTCTTCTCTGTTTTCTGGTTTTAAAGCTATGCTTTTAGCCTTATTTTCTATAGGTCAAGAGAGGTGGTGGGTTGCCATTCGGATAGGAAAATCTGAGCTTCCTTATGTTTAGCCTAGAAGATTCCTTTTGGACCAACATTCTGAAGTTGGCAGTTGGTGCTGTGGAAAGTGGTAGGATTTTCCTCATTCTGGGTGAAGGAAGGAGGAGCTTTGTGGGAAATCTCTAATTTTTAGAAGGTTAACCTGCAACACCAGGAAAACTATCCCAAGAGCTAGAAAGGAGAAATGAAGCACTCCTTCAGTAAAGTGAGTCAGCCTGTGAGAAGCGACCCACGGGCCTCTGGATTCTTGGCTTTTGTTTCTCTGTCCACTGGCCTGTCCTTGTGTCTCACCTGGACTTGCACGGGTCTTGAGCCAGCAGGGGCTTTCGGAACCAAGGATCTGTTTCCTTGATGAAAATGGGAGCCCTGCCCTTCACTTTACATTCCTTTTGATCCAACTGATCAAAATTGGCACCCATACCTGCCCTTTTCCCCCTCCTTCCAGCACACTCCTCTCTGAGAAAGTCAAAGCAAAGCTTTCTGAATGACAAAGCTTTGGGCCTATTCTGTTGTTCCTGCCTTATTTCTCTTGCAGCCCTTGTACATGACTTGTGTCCACCATCCCCTTGGTCAGTGTCCATCTGCTGATTCGCATCACGAACTGGACAGTGTGTGAGTGGCCACCTACTCCCCCCCCCCCCCTCCAGCTCTGGGAGCCAAGTTGTCTTCCCCTCTCTGGTGCTCCTGACACTTGTGAGACAGACCTGTCGAGAGGACTAGGAACCCACAGAAGGAGCCTCCTTCTCGGCAGAGCTCCTGTGGTCAACTGGAATTCAGGTTGCACACTGTGATTTTTACACCGAAAAGCCAAAAGGAGCTGGCCATCCAGGGCCTAGGGAGACCAGTCTTCCTCAGATCTGCTTGCCTAAACCAGCATGATGCTTCGGAGAGCCCTGCTCTGCCCCTTGAGGCATGGATCCTTCTCTTGGTGTGGACTCTGATGGGTCAGTCTTTGGGGGAACAGAGGTGGGGTGGGGCTCCCAGCATCCCAATTTGGAAAAGAGAGGAGTTTGCAGCCAGCAGCCTGTAAACTGGAAACACTGGTCTCAGCCAACCTCCTCAGGGCGCCCTGGTTTCTCCCCAAGGAGAGGAGATGACACCAGCAACAGGATGAACAGACCATCGGAAGGGCTGGTGTGTGTGTACTCCACGTGCAGAAGAGAAGTTTAGATCTTCCAGGGAATTGCAATGTTGTGGCGTCTGACTTGTATGTCGCGTTTGTGTAAAATGGTATATTCTTTAAAATAGTGTTGATAACTGGAATATTGTATGTATGCTTGGAGATGCTTTGTGTGAACCTAAGACTGTCACTCAACAGATGTTGGATTGGGGAAAATCCAAAGCACAACTTCGAAATAAAATACGTTTTTAGGTTTCTATGCTGCAGTTTATGTCCCTTTTCCACGCCCTGAAATCTCCAATCCAGGAGTCCAGCACCCAGGAGGAAATGTGATTCGTCTGTGCCGATAGAGCCCTGCCTGGCAACAGGAGAAATGTGACCTCAGAAGCCAACCACCTTCTCCCTCCCAGCAAGGCACAGCAGAGGTGCATCTAGAATGTGGATTCCCCCTCCCCCACCAGCATTATGTGTGAAACCTAAGAGGTTTTGTAGAAAGTCTTCTAGCTCCCCATTGGGCAGTCTGTTGCCATGAGAACCATTTCCTTCACAGAATGCACCCACCCTGTTTTCAGGGAGGACCATTCTCGTTTCTATCGCTGGTCAGATTTCCCCACTTGGGAGGAGTGGGGCCTGTCAGGTTGCTCGCAGGTTTTGCCAGCCACAACCAAGGGTGACTGAAGGTTGTATTTCTTCCCCAAGCCAAGCCCTGAGTCATTCTGCCTATGGATGCCCCCTGCCTCTGGGAAAAGAGCTGACCCCTATGCTCGTGCTGTTGGTGTTGAGCACAGGGGTGGGGCACACAAGAGATGCTTTCTCGCCTTTAGATTTTGATTCTAGCAGATCATAAGCTCAAGGGTGAAGTTAATTAAAGGTAGCAACTGACAGTGCATCCAAGGGCTTACGCTTATTTTTACTGGGTTTATTCCAATACCAGAAGCCCCTGGGGAGGGATCAGATCTCTCATATCCAAGGGGATGCCCAGTGTTCAATGGTAATATGAGGAATCGTACCCTGAGCCCTGGACCAGACACCATACTCAGAAAAGTCCATCACCTCCATCTGGCTCATGCCCTCCCAACCTGTCATCTCTTCCCCCTCCTTCATTTTAATAGTAGCGCTCCATCTTGAGCTTCTCTTGCTGGTCCCTTGGTCCTGGAGAAGTCACCGGTGAGGCTGTCCTGCCACTCTGTGCTATGGGGGAGTTCTCCACTCCAGAGTGTAGGTGGTGACCTGTGAGATGGAGCTGGTTTTTTTTTTTTTTAAGATTTTGTTTATTTTAGAGAGAGAGAATGAGAAAGAGCATGAGAGGGGAGAGGGTCAGAGGGTGAACAGGGAGCTTTATGCAGGACTTGATCCCGGGACTCCAGGATCATGACCTGAGCCGAAGGCAGTCGGCTTAACCAACTGAGCCACCCAGGCACCCAAGATGGAGCTGGTTTATAAGCTGTGGGCAGAGGACCAAGGAGCCTTTACAGAGAGCCCAAAGGCAAAGGTGGGCTCTTGTGGAAGATCCTCTAATTGATTTTTATATATTCAGATGGGAGCTTGATGGAAGCTAGTGACAATGAACACGGTTGAAAACAGGCCCATTCCACCCAGATAGAAACCCAAAAAGGAGACCAGGTGGATATGAAATTAGGAAATGGCCTTAATGAGTATCTACTCTAAACGTTTATCTCAAAAGGTACATGAAGATTCTCTTTATTCTGGAGTTAGCTACCCTTGCATATTGCATGTGCCAAAGACTCATTCCTCAGTCAGTCAACAAACTCTAAGCCTCACTGTGTGCCAAGCATTGTTATAAAATATCAAGCAGGAGAAACAGATAATGGCGCTTTCTTTCTGGTGTGAGGGAGAACAGATGAATAAGCCAAGCAGGACTCTGAAAAATGAAACAGTGTAATAGGTCATTAGTGCCCGGGGAAGGAGTAGTACAGTCAATCAAGAAATTCCGTATAGCCTGGGAAAGCTGGAATGACTACTAGACGTCCAGATAGAACTATCAAATAGACTCTTGAGTATATGATATGGGGTTTTAGGGACGGACCACACCTGCACAGAAATTCAGGATCTATTTTATTATGGAGATATTCAAATTACGAGATTCCCAGGAAGAATGTGTAAATGGAAACAAAGAAGGTCCCAGTAATTAGAAATCCAGTAGAGAGGAAGGCACCGGCAAAGACAGAGGGAGCAGGTGACAGGTAGGTGCTCGGAGAGCACAGTGTCACAAACACCAAGTGAAGGACTGGTTTCAAGGAGGAGGGAGGCTTGGCTGTCAGATGCCAGTGGGTAAGATGGGGCCAGCTAGAGAGGCAATCATTCTTCGGTGACGCAGAGCTCTTTCAGTAGACGGGAAATGGGTCAGATTGGAGTGGGCTGGGCGGCCGCTGGGGAGGGAAGGGGCGGTCAGGGAGTCTCGGCAGCTCATGCAAAGACATGGTTTTGAATGGCGAGTTTCAAGAGGGACCGAGGGACCAGATTTTTGTCTTAAAATGGGCTCTTTGAGGCATGTTTGCTCAAGAGCAGGAGCCAGTGGGATGGAAAGAAGGAACGTGCAGGAGAGGCTGAATCACAGAGCACAGATGAGGGGGCTGGTCATGGCCACGGGAGGAGACCCCTCCGTCTCACTAGAGGGAAAGCAGGTGCAATGCAAGGCGGGCAGTGGATGTGGGGGTGGGGAGATGATGGGGTTCCCTTTCAATGCTTCTTGTATGTCAGTGAAGTTTACGGCAAAGGCTTTAGTTGAGGGTAGGAGGGAGTGGTGAGCAGGAGGCTTGGAGAGTCAAAAGAATGAAGTGTTTTTTCCACACCAAGAAGGACAAGCACTTGGTGGCACAGGGCTCCATTTCCCTCAGTGGCTTGGTGCTGCTCCCATGGCTCCTTTCCCCACTCCTTGGGGGAGCAGTGCCAGGTCTGGCTGCCGAGTGCGGCCCTCCTTCCACACCCAGCGCTCCTGGCTAGAGCTGACTGATGAAGGTGGCAGGAAGCAGGGCTCTGAGACCTGGTCACTCAGCCCCTCATCGATGTGGGAGCGTGGCGAGTACACCCTGCCCACCTCTCCCACATACCTGCCGGCCCTCACCCTTCTCCCCTTTGAGGTGCCAGACAGGTGAGGCAGTATGACAAACAGGTTCAAGCCATGTAGGGGCAGAAAAAGCAACAAGTATTTATTCAGGGCCCACCAGGTAGCAGGGACTAAATCTCATTTTGCTCTTACACCAACTGTCTGAGAAAGGTTGGGTGACTAGGTCATGCAGAGCAGGGGGAAGAGTGAGGACTCCAACCTCTCCGATGGTAAAAGCCCTGCCCTTCCCACTACACACGCGGCCTCCCTTTGTAGAAGGTGGACGTGCGCTTTCTCCCTGAGAGCTGCCATCAAAGACCTGCCTCTTTGCACCTAAGGCCCTTGTCCTACCTTTGGATTGCCACTTCTATTTCTAGGACTCCTCAGAGCCACTCAGGAAACTGCTGTGGCCTCTTACAGACTTCCTCTTCCCCTCAGGAGCCCGCCAGGCTCCCGTGCCTTCCCCACAACGAAACAAGGGCCTTGCTGCCCAGCCAGGACCAGAGTTTGTCCACACAGAGGATGTGACCTCACGGAGGATGCCCAGCGAAACTTGATCGGTCACCACACAGGGCTTCAGCCCACCTCCCCTCCCCC